AACAGCCAACAGCTTTATAATTAATATAGTTCCCTGCATATTCATTTGGGACTGACTTGGCTCTGGGACCAGGCTGGCAGGAAGAATGCACGTTGCAGTCATTGATACCAGCTTCTCTCCTAATAGCAAGACCAGACCCAAAACCCGCTTTTCTTCATGCTCTGGCTGTTTTGCATTCTTTGGCTTGATCTTCCTGAACTCATTACAATTACAGAGGATGGAATCCATGTGCTTGTCAAAAGCCTTAAAAGCGCCAATGAGGATTCTTTCATCTTGCAGGATACGTCTCATTCTATAGTCAATGTGCTGCAACATCTTGCTACTCTTACCCACACTCATGATTGCTGTTCTGCAATAGCTGCTTAACAGTAAAATTTTGAGATCCTTAATACTTGGGGGAAGGCTATCAATAAAGGTGTGATACAGGCTCACTTAGACACTATGTAAGCTTGACTGAAGCATCACAGACAATGGATGGGTCCTGTTTTCCTTGATTACCACATCCTTGATGTTCCAATGATGCTTTAACCACCTTTTGGTGTCTCAGCTAAAAATGCCTGTCTCAGTTCTGCCTGGAAATCCACCCAGGAATTTGCTGCTGCTGCTGCTGCTGCTGAGGACGTTGTGGGTACAGGTGGCACTCCTGGTTGCTCAGTGACACAGTCCTTCTACGTTTGACCTGGACTTCCATCTCTGGCACGTGCTGGTCAGCAGTTCTTCTCAGGAATATGCAACCTCTTGCTCATTCCATCACATTACAAATTGCTCCTCAGAACTAAGCGTCAGACATCTCCAGTTCCCTCTTCCCTCTACCAAGAACTATACTTCTATTAGTAGGCAGGTTAATTACAAAAATACATGACTCCATTCTTTTCCCTCACATTTCTTTTCTGCAATCTCACTGAGACAAATTTGTAAAACAATTGAAGATTTGATAAATTTAATTTTATCAAGTTTATGTTTTTCATTAGTTGTATTTAGCAATTACCATGCATTCTAATGCAATCCTGAAAAAAAATGCCTTAATGCTTTTGTCTTAGTAGACACAATAGATTTTTAAAGTTAAGATTGTAGATTTTTTGTTGCAGTTATTTATAATAATATGCAAAATATTAAAAATATTGATTATTTTGAGACACAAGATGCTTAGGAAAAGTGGAATGAGAGTGGTGGTAAAACACAGTAAGATTTACAGCTGTTGAAGTTTGTGCTTATTCCTCACAATGATAGAATATATACAAAAAAAGAGACAGAAGGAAAGCTTCTTTATGGACATGCATTTCTTGTTTGCTTTTTAGTCATTGATGGTAACAAATTACACTACTGTTAGAATTCCATTGAAAAGAATATAGTACTTACTTTTATATATAACTATTGCACACCCAAACAGTGTGCATGTGTACGTGTGCATGCATGGGGGTCAGCACACAGCTTTGCTAGTTGGGTCTCCCCTTTCTCCTTTACCTGACTTCTGGCAATAGAATTCGGGTCTTCAGGCTCATGCAGCAAGTGATTTTATCCACGAGGCGACTTGTCAGCCCTGAGAACAGCAAATTTAATGGCAATGGACACCACAATCAGGAAAGGGAAGGCTGTGTTCTTGTCACTTACTTAAACGTTAGACGAGGAATTGTAAATGTCACATTGCAGTCTGGAGGTTCGGATGTGCTGCGGCTCTGTGCTCTCCTCTGCTTGCTCTACCTCATAGCCAAAACCTTCTGACGTCGAGTCTCGGTCAACGTCACTCGGTTGATTGAAGCTGACTGGGAATGGGAGCCATGCTTTCCAGTCTTTGTACAGTTCACAGGACTCTAAAAGAAGCCCGCTCATGACAAGTGTACAAATAACAAGTTATTGAATTAGTGTATTTCACCAAAAGGAGCTATTCATTCTTCCTCTACCACGCCTAGGCTTTAAGTTAGTTTTTGTTCTAACTGATGACAAAACAATTGCCTTGTGGAAGTAAAATTAAAGAATAGTTCAACTTTTGTCTCTATAATAAGAATACTCTGAGAAAAAATTACACAGTAAATCAACATAATTCTAAATTTTTTATTAGCATGGGTATTTCCCATATAAACTAAAGCAGCACCAAGCATTCAGAAATGTACTTATGGTCAAAAACAGTTGTTGTATGTAAAATTTTAACTTAAGGCCAGTTTCATTTTATGATGATTTCTTAAATGTACAACAAGTTAGAAATCAATGCAAACAGCATTAGAGGAGTCAGAGTGGCTGGCACTTAGGAACTCTTGTGTTCCTAACGTAGAATTTAGTGAAAATCACATACATGTGTACCTCACACTTTATGTATTTCCTCCATTCAGGACACCGGAAGCACAGACATTGCCTAACAATTTTGTATTTGCTACATGTGCAGCAAGCTCGTAAAAAGCACATTTGGTGAAAATGCACTGGTAAATAACATTTTTACAATTTTAAAGATTTATCAACAAGGTTTGATTTTTATCCTGTGATTGTAGTACACACACACACACACACCCACACACACACTGAGTTTAAATGTACTTATGCAGTCTTTTATTTTGTATTTAATATTATCCAAAGAAATAATACACATAGACCCCTTAATATAACAACTTAGACATAAACACTTGTTAAAAACAAAATAAAAACTCTTACAGACTAACTTGGAAATACTATACTTAGATTTAGAAATTAGATTCCATGGTATTCTGTCATTGACTTGTTTTGTGATATTTTTTTCCTTGAAGAAAGAAAATATTATCTTGAACTTAGAAACTCCATTTATTTGAAAGAACATATGGAGCTGTCTTCTATGCCTCATTCTTTATCTTGACAGCATTTCTGGAAACATCAGTTCTAGGTACCACTGTGGAGCACCCCTCTGTGCTGGCTCCTGTAGTTTTATATTTGATCTCAGGATAGTTTGCTGAAATGATGTCATGCCTGCTTCAGCGAATGCACCTGAAGGACAGCGAAAGGCATGCTTGGGTCCCAAATACCCTTGTCTTTCTTAGCTTCCCACTGGACAGTCAGCCCCCGTAAGGTGTGTGAACAATGTCTCAATACAGATCAGAATGTATCACAGAGTGGACCATGCCCAGGAAGGCTGGGAATAGAAATGAGGACAAAGCCCTTTCCTGAGTGCCTAGACAGTACACAGCAACACAATAACAAGGTGCAAAAGTTACCTGGCCAGACCAAGAAGAAGTCTAGTTGTACTTCAGACAAGGTGAGAGAGAAATCACATTTGTAAAGACTGTAGAGTATGAAAATACCACTACAAAAATGATACCTGGAAACTGAGCATTCAAAATCACATCAAGTTTTCCTGGAAATTAGTGCAAAATAGTGCCAGCTTTGTGATTTACCATTGAAGCCCAATGGTTTTCTTGTAAATTATGTTAACCAGTACATTGGTCATCATCATAGGGTTGATCATTGATACTGGTGGCCCTTCATCCTCACATGGAGTTTTAAATTGCGTCTGCAATGCGCATGCACATATGTTTTTGTCAGCATTATTCTCATGACTATGTGCATGTGTTTACATTGTCCTTTAGTCTAGAGATGATTTAGGATGTATGGAGGGTGCTCCAATTCCTCTAAGACCTTGAGCACCTGTCAATCTGGGCAGGTGCATTGTTGAATGGGGAATGCCCATCTTAGCCATGGCACAATGTAGGATGCTTACATTTCTCTGAGACAGAAAACTTCCAGACTGGAATACCTTGGGGTCAGTTAAAATAAGTAGTTATAACTTAAAATGACCTTTGGGACTCCTTTGAAAACCTTTGCTTCTTATTGTCTCAGAGAATGGAGCCAGGGAACTCGATTTGATAGAAAGCACATGCACCCATGTAAAAACACTGAGCTCCTGGATAGCTTACTGGAACTGTAAGTTTCGCAAAGGCTGTTAGCATTCTGAATGAAGTAGAGGATAATCATCCCTGCCCCACTCAGAGAGACTTTCATTTTTTGTTCTGAATCCACAACCTAGCACAAAAGTCTGAACTGCTTAAGGTTACTTTTGACTGGCTCCTGAACTTTCAAGTTAAAAAAAGTCATCCAAGTTGTCCGAAAGGAGTATCAAAGTTAAAAAAAAAGAAATAATTTCCAGTTGTTTTGGACTGCATGTGTGTATGTGAACAAATTTGACCAAGAAAAAACAGACAAAACATAGAAAGTGTCAAGCATGGAGGCACTCAGCTGTAATTCCACACCCTGGAGGCAGAGGCAGGAGAATCACAAGTTGGAGGCCAGCTTGGTTTACATAGGATCAAAGAACACTACACAAACCTTTTCTTAAATGAACAGAGAGACAGGAGCAGGGAGAGGGAGGGAGGGGGGAGGAAAGAAGAAGACAGAGTCAGAGAGAGAAAGAAACATGTTCAGTGGGGTTTTCACCTCTCAGTAGTACTTTTTTTGTTTTTGTTTTTGTTTTTTTTTAAACAGGTGCTTTTCACTGGGTGGGTTTGGTGGCACATAAGAAGTAGGGTCAGGAACTCAAGAACCCAGCTTGGGATGCACGAGAGCTTGACTTGAGCCCTCCCCCAAATTAAAAAAATAAGCATTTTTCATCAACACACATCCAACCATCCATCCATTTATCCATCCATCTAATCCATGCATGCGTGAATAAATGATTGGTCTCCTGCTCTATTTTGTGGGGAAAACAGCTTGGGGACATTTTAGTTGCCTGTGTCCCTAACTGTAATTAGGGACAGTATTTCCAATCTGACTACACAGGGGAGGGCACTTAGAATGTCCTGGGCACTTTGGTAACACACAACAGATGCTAGTGTATATAAATTACAATATGGTAGTTTACATAGGACCTATGCACATGAAGACAGAGGAAAAGGTAGAGGGGGCTGACTGTGCAAGCCAGGAAACCCAGGTGGTGTTTACAGAAAGAATAAAGAGGGTTTTTTAAAATTAGGTCTGAAAGTGAACTTCTTTTGAGACATCATGATTAATTTTTTTTAACAAATAGAACAATCTGTTCCTCCTTGTGAGTTTGATCCAGTTTATTAGAGTTCTTAGACGATATACAAAACGCCTGAATCCTGATGGGTTAAGTGTGTCTAGCACCTCAGATGAAAACACTAGTGGGTAATTAAAAAAACAGTATAACATAAAGGACTGAAATAGTGAGGAACTAACATGGTTTAGACGCTAATATTAACTAGTAATATAGGCTCTGCAGCGAGGAGAAACTTGAGTGTTTAATTGCGAAATACATCAAACAAAGAAACTAAAATGTTTTCTCTTAATATAGGAAGATTTTGGTAGCTATAAAAATAATAGATTTTCATCACAAATATAGTTTAAAATACCCAGTTATTCTATATAAAAATACAGAAAAATAATTTCAAGCAAAACACTAACTCTGAATCCCGTGAGAGAAGCTGAGGAAGGATAACAAAAATGTCAGTTTGAACATGAGCCTAGCTGACACCAGCCATATGTCCTTGAGCATCGACTCTGTGACTGAGAAAATTCCAATTTATCATGTTTAAATATATAGATATCAGTTGTAGCTTCAGGTCTGCTAGTCACGTATGATATGCTATGTCAAAAGCACTTCAATTTCACTTTTTAAAAAATGAACAGGGATAGGAAGATTATAACACACTTTCCCTGTAGAGTATCAAAGTAACAGCCCCTTCGGTGTACTTAACTAGGAGTTTTACCGTCAAAAAATATATCCTCTACGTTAAAAAAATATTTTTTTGGTAATATTTGTTGACATTTCTAATCAGAGTCTGTACAAATTCTTTAAACGGTATAAAACAAAACTCTAGGGTGTAGATATCAGTTAAGAGGGAACACGTGGTTCCCTTCCGTCTGTTCTTGGGCTTTAGACAGATCATCCTCAGGCATTCTCTGAAGCCCCCAGGAATTCCATTTGTACAGCAGCCTTGGGGGGTTTCGCCGCACCTCTCTTCTTCCGGAATTCTGAGGCGATTTCCTCAAAAGACTTTCCTTTGGTCTCTGGAACTTTAAAAAATGTAAACAGGGTGAAGACCAGGAGGATCCCAGCGAAGAGGAAGAACACATAAGGCCCGCAGAAGTCCTGCAAGGAGACAGCAAAAGCTTTGGTCAGCAGCTGCAGACCTGCCTGGTCGGGGAAGGGGGGGACTCGCACAGTGTGGACCTGCCTGGTCGGGGGGGGGGGGGCTCGCACAGTGTGGACCTGCCTGGGAGGGGGAAGGGGGGCTCGCACAGTGTGGACCTGCCTGGGAGGGGGGAGGGGGCTCGCACAGTGTGGGCGCTTACCGCGATGTACTGGAAGGAGAGAGCCACAACGAAATTGCAGAACCAGTTGCTGAAGGCAGCCAGTGCCAGAGCAGTGGGGCGGGGGCCTTGGCTGAAAAATTCAGCAACCATGAACCAAGGAATTGGACCTGGCCCAATCTCAAAGAAACTGACGAAGAGAAAAATGGCTGTCATGCTCACGTAACTCATCCAGGAGAATTTATCCTGAAGACAAAGACAAAGTCGTAAGTGGGACAGGTGGCTGTTGGCTGCGGCCTCCTAGAGTTTAGCAGCTTCTGAGGTCTCTCAGGCCGAGGTAAGAGATGGGCACAGCTGTCTTCCTCGTGTGTTTGGTTTTCGTCAAGTTCAAGTTACTCTGGTTTGAAACAAGTTAGTCCAACCCAAATTTAGAGCCTTTGCCCAGCCACTCCTTTGCATTAGGGTCTTTGGGGTTCGTTCCACAATTAATCTTTCCCTGTGATGGGCAAGAAGACCCAGAATCCTAAGGTCTTCCTACCAAGACGGCCAGACAAGGTTCGACTCCCTGTGAAATGCAGGGTGAGGATGCTAGGACGGAAGGGAGGTTGAGGTGCTTGCCCATGCTTACACCAGCAGGCAGCCGCCCATGCAGCAATGCTGCTGCCCTGGCTGGTAAGTGGCATTCTGGTACTTGCGTCTCTAACTCCAAGAACATGGTTCCCCTAGCTTCACATTTCTCTTCTCCCTTATTTCATACGTGAGTCTCCAGCCCTTCTTATGGACAGAGATCTTTAGCCTGGAGGTCAGAGATATTTGCCTGTGGTAAAATATGCCAGTCCAGGAACCACACTCACCAGCAGCACAAGTCCCAAGGACATGAAGATGGCACAGAAAAACATCCCGATCATTCCAGCTAGAAACAGGGACCGCCGCCCAGCCTTCTCCACGAGCAGCACCTGGGGAAGTTTGCACATCATCTCAGTAGTCTGCGCCGAACAATGCTGTCTTTACCCTTACATACTTTACCACTAAGCAACTTGCTTTAATGCATATAGTGGGTGTGGAGGCAGTGCTGTGACCCCATTTTATAGGTGCGCAATTGGGGTGAGAAGCGTGCGATGGGGTGCTAGTCTCGGTGGAGAGTGGTGATTACGCACTGTCTCACTTTGACCATATTGACTTGAGAAGGTCTGTCTTGAGGAAGTCTAGAGTGGTCCCGACACCCTAGGGCCATCTCTTTGAGAAATTGTGAAAGGTCTACATTTATCAGGGCTGCGGTGGCAGCTCTGTGGTAGATTGCTTGGCCCACATGCACATACCCTGGGTTCAGTTCCAAACACACAGAAGAAAGGAAAAGAATTGTCATGCTAAAAAAGAAAACGGTGACCCCTGTTTGTCGCCCGCCGATCTAATCATTTCAAGAGCTCACATGCCACAGACATTTGAGACAGTTCATGTGCCAGCCATTCTCATCCAATTTCTCAGTGCTTACTGAAGTCACGTTATGCCTGCGTAGCTGCCAACAAGTGAACCTGACCACTGGACAGTGAATTTGATCACTGTACCAAAGCAATGAACTCTGCATTTCCCCGGTGTGCTTACAAGTACCTGTTGCGGGAGTGGACTGTGTATTGGAGAGAGAGGACATCAGGACAAGATATTAGGGTGCGTCTCCATCCTGACTGAGGAGACCTGTCCTCATTCTTTGGGTAAGACTGACTATTAACCAAGATCAACATTTTTTGACTAGAATCAGACCCATGGGATCTTGTCAACACTGGACACACCCATGCACGTACGCGCGCGCACACACACACGCACACACACACACCATAACCTTCCATCTTGGTGAGTAAACGGGCTATGCTCATAAATCTAAGTAAGTCAACGCAAACCAATACCCACAGCATGCTGAGCTCTGGGTCTACAGACATCTGTGTAGCATTTGGCTTCCCCTGCAGCGAAAGCCCCCTTTTTTTTTTTAATCTCAGAGGCGCACTCAGATCAGTGTTTTGGATCAGTCTAGAAAGAACGACAAGCCAAGAGCCTACATTTCATTACTAAGAAGTAAGCAGGAGAAACCTTCCCATATGTTTCTTAAATGCGTGGTGCTTCATGTGCTCGAAGGTCTGTGCACCACATTCCTACGGTGCTTGCAGGTGTAAGAGGTGGGGGGCATCAAATCCCCTGGAACTGGAGTTAAAGATGGTTGTGAGCTGCCATGTGGGTGCTGGGAATTGAACTCAGGCCCTCTGGAAGACCACCCAGTGCTTTTAACCACTGGGCCATCTCTCCAGCCCTCATACATTTTTTGAGTCTTTCAAAGCCAGAAGGATGACACACGCTGTTGACACAGTATTATTGGGGTATGAGAAAACAGGAATGTTTCTGCAGGAATATTGTTTCTTCTGTTTATGAAAAATGTTGACTGGACAATAAAAGATAAAAATGTGTGTTTAAAATTGAGTTGCATTCTCTCCTGGAAGCTAGGTGACACTCAAATGCATGACGAGTGGAAATAACGGCCAAGCACTGGGACATCTGTTGGCTCTTAGTCCTCGTCTCCGCCTCAGTCCATGCATCCCTCTGGTCCTGGTGCCTTGCTAGAGCTAGGCAGCCACTGCTTTGCTCCTAAAGCCAGCCTGCCTCTCAGTCCCCCCATCTTTTTTCCTGTCTTGCTGTTTTCTCAAGATCGTAAGCGCCCTTCCATCAGCTCGTCACTATGAATGAAAGCATAGAGCCTGGGCATCATTTGGAACGCAACTGGGAAAGTTTCTGTTTCTTAAGTACTTAGGAGAAATGGGCTAGATTTCTGGTTAGTGAACCAAAACCACGAGTGCTGATTCTTTCTGCATACATCAGTGCGGACACTGTTTTCAAGTTCAGGGATATAAAACTTATCTCCTTGGTTGTGTTATTGATAGGGTTTGGCTTGCTACCGTGTCTTGCTGTGGAGCCTTGCTGTATTTGGACTTGAGAGCCACCTTCCTCTGCCTCCTGAATGCTAGGATCACAGGTGTCTACCGCCACTATTTGGAAAACCTAAATAAAAAAACTTCATGCTTTCTTTAATTGTGGAGTTCTACTGAAGTGATTAGAACTGATTTTCTTTGTGTGTCAGTCATCTGTTTTAAGACTTTTGTGAAAGAAAGAGAATAAACTCAAAATACACCACATTTGAAACAATTAAGATGCATATTATATTTATAATAATTATTAATTAAATTGCTCCTCCAAATGAGGCTGGGTATGGAGAGAAGAAATAAAATGCTGCACAATTCTTTCTTTGCTTACTTTTTTCTCAGAATTTGGATTACCCAATCTTAACAACTTGATGCTTTATGTAGCAAATGCTATTTTAAGCAATATGTTTTAATAATAATGTCCACTTTGTAAAGTATACCATTTCCAGGAAGCAAGGAGTCCTTTGATTGTGCCCCGGAAAAGGCCTTTGTTGACTGACACAGCCTTTGGCTTGGACAGGGCTGTCTACAAAGTGGAGTCTGTGGGAGCATAGCACTCTCTTTAGTTTGCCCTCTTTTTGCTCTGCAAGGTCCAGCAAAGTGTAATGAGTTCTGGGGAGCTGGGCTGTAATTTATTGACCACCCCAAGGTAATACTTAAAGTCCATGTACAAAGAATGAAAAAACAAGTGACCAAAATAGTCTGAGTATAGTATAATGACCAACATTAAACTCAAAAACATTTTAAACATGTTGTATTCAAAGGTAAAAATCAGTCAAGTTAGTCTCATTTTCAGCAACTTTCATTAGCTGAGAAGTCTGTATCAGGCTTTAAGAAAGCAAATAACTTCTTTCTTTTGTTGGAATTGGGAGAACAATGAAATTTCATATTTTATATCATTTCTACCCAGACTCACGTTACACATATCTGAATGTATCACCAGGAGCCATTTACTTGTGAACTGCCTGAAGTTCTGCTCAGTGATCTCACATCATAGGAATTTGCCAGTTTGTTTAATTCTCTTTTCTAGTTTAGTTATCTATTAGTTTCTGAAATGTTTTCCCCAAGTTACCAGGATGAAATATCTCCAGCAGGCAGGGAGAGGCTAGGGAATGTACCCAATGTTGCTATAATGGCACGCTGTCAGCCAGTCCCTCAGTGTTTAAATAGAAGAGAATCCGAATGCAGAATCTCATGGAGAGAGAAAGTCTTGCCAGTGAGTTATTAATTCACCAAAAGAGTGAATTACTGGCACCCTCCACAGTGGGTGAGCCGGTGACTCATACCTCAGCCAGCTTCATCTCAGAGCCGTGGCTGCTGTGTGCTCAGGACTTTCCCCACTATTCTCTCATCTGTACACACACAGTGCACGTGGACAGAGGTGCTGACTCGTTTCATTATAAGCCACAGTCATAAGCCACCCCCACCCCAGGGCCAAGGAACAAGCAGAGTGCCCGTCTAGCTAGTGACTTACAGAGACAGCAGTGAAGATCAAGTTGATAGCACCAACGCCAATGGTGGCATACACAGGCTGGCTGATACCTGCTGTCTGGAAAATGCTGGTTGAGTAGTAAAATATCTGCAAAATAAGAACAGGCCAACCTTAAGGAAAGCCTCCTACTGAAGTCCTGAAAGCAAGACATACGGCTGCTTACTTTCAGTTTTTGTGGAACCATAGTTCCTAGGATCCTCTAAAGTTTATCCCACCCTCTCCTCAGACATGCCTTCCTATAATGTTTAAAGCTCCTGGTTGCTTAAAAGTTCTTGGCTTTACCTGAAAACTCATTACGTCACTTTCTTTGTTTAATTTCTAAACTTTTTGTAAATGTATAACCTTGTAACAGGTACATACAAGTGAACAGCTCCATTATGTTAAAAACTGATTACAGTCATGTAAAGAGAACTCAGGTCAAGGACCAATTCATTTCTGACTGCAGAACCCCTCTATCCATTTTCCTAAGGGAATCACTCACCTAACATCTGACATGATAGATGAATTGTGCCAAGTCCTGTACTTGGTGTAAATATATCACACATACTCTCTTGTTCTGGCTTCTTCTGCTAAACATTGTCTCCAGGAGAATCCTTGGTGCCCTGTGCATTTGGACACTTCATTGTCACTACAATGTGGAATTCTGATACATCTGTAATATTACACTTTGGTTACCCATTCTATTGATGACTGCTCTTTAAGGGTGTTTATGAATAGTGCTTTGGGTATATACTTTTTTGAGTTTTTTAGGGGGGCAGCATCTCTCTATGTAGCCCTGACTGAGTTGGAACTCTCTATGTAGACAAGGCTGACGTCAAACTCATGGAGATCTGCCTGCCTCTGCCTCCCAAGGGCTGAGACTAAAGGCACATGTTACCATTCCTGGTAGGAATATACTCTTAGAAGTTATTTGGATGGAGTATGTGAGTATTCATACCCAGAAATTGAATCACTGAATCATAGTGTTTGTTAGAAATTCATCTTTGGTATAGATGCTGCCTAATAGTTACAAAAAGTAATAAAATTTTATATTTTCACCAGTTTGCATAACAGTTTTAGTTGCCATTGCATCTATCTATCTATCTATTTATCTATCTATCTATCTATCTATCTATCTATCTATCTGAAGTATGCCATCCAAGTGTAACTGAGACTCATTTTTGTGTAAATCACCAGGAACCTGCGATTTCATACTCCCAGAACATTCTAATTTAGATTTGGGGTTGGAGGTAGTTCAAGCAATATTGTTTTCTCACCGTGCATTCATTACGGCCTTGCCTTTCATTTCCACCCTGCCTCCCTGGTCTGGTATATGAATGTGTACATGTTTGTGCTTGTGCATGTGTGCACTTGAGTGCACATGCATGTGTCTGTGGAAGGAGGAGGTCAATGTTGGGTGTCTTCCTCAATCGCTCTCCACTTTAGTTTTTGAGATAGGGTCTCTCAGAATCTGAAGTTCACTGATTAGCTAGGTTGGCATGCTAATGATTCAGGAATCAGAACATCTCCAAAACCTTGTCTCGAGGGTGCAGATGTACAGGTGCTTTGTATATGTATGCTGGGGCTCTGAATTCGGATCTTTACATACAGTGATCTGCCAGCTCCATTGCCTTCTTAACAGACCCAAAGTTCTATTGATTGCTGAAAATTTAAAAATATTGAGCTAATTTTAGAGAGCCATTCAAGCAAATCAATGGAATCAATTACTACCGAACATTTATTGTAACAAAACTTGATGTCAGTGTTAAGAAATGTATTTTAGTGACTTAAGCTTAAGCCTCTTTCTCTCTGTCTCAGCTCCCTTTACCAGCTTAATGTTAGGAGTTCTTCAGCTTACTCCATTGATTCCAGAAAACTGCTGAGCCACGTGCAGCATTAATGCCACGATGATGGGCTGTCGGTAGCTGGAATCTGTGAAGAGCTGAATCACAGAGACTTTCTGCTCAGCAGATGCTTCTTCCTTTTCCTTTTTCATCTCATTAATATCCTTGGTGATGTCCTCAGCTCCTCGTAGTCTCTTCAAGCCTAATTGAAACAACCCAGATCAAACAAAAATGAGTATTTTTTTTTCTGATCACAAAGGTGCTATGGATCTGCGTGTCCCTTTGTTTGACCTAACAGCATAGGTACTGGCAATTCTTTTTCCTACCTTTTTGATTAAACTAAATCCTGTTCTTTGGTTAAAGAAAGCAAAGCAGAACAACTGACTTCATCTGGAGAGAGAGAGAGAGAGAGAGAGAGAGAGAGAGAGAGAGAGAGAGAGAGAGAGAGAATGAGAGCGAGAGAGTGAATGATGTTCATCACAAAAGCACAGTTCTGAGGAGGTTGGGAGCCTCTGGTTAAGCCCAGTGGGCTACATGTGAGCTCCTGGCATGGTCAAATCCAAAACATACCAGACACATCCAAGAAAAACAGAACACAGCAGCCATATCTAAGTTCAGTGTGTTCTTCTGAGCAATCACTGACTTCATTTACAAGCGCCCATGTTGATTTTATGAGTAGCCATTCAAACATACTATTTTGTATTAGCTAATAATTCCTCAGTGATAGAAACTGGCAGTTCCCTACACACTTACATTTCTTTGCTTTGACTTCTTCTTCCAGTGTTATATAAAGGTATCGGGGGCTTTCTGGACAGAAGAGTAGCAGGAGAGACTGTAGGAGAGCTGGCACAGCGGACATGCCAAGCAGGATGTGCCAACGATCCTGATTGCCCAGAATAAAGTTGAGGCTAGCTATCTGAAAAGACAAGGGAGGAACATATCAGATGCACAGTACTTTGGGTCTGCCTTCTATGGCAACTTATGAGAAAATGCATTGGTTTTCAAACAGTGATCCTTGACTGTCACTTCACGTTGGCACAAAGAGAAGGCTGTAATTAGTGAGTCCCATTTTAACCAAATAAGAACAATTGATTAGTAAAGAACTCAGCTATGCTTGTCTTAATTCACACCAACTAGATGTTTATGCTGGAGATCAACTCAACTTTTAAAATCACACTTGATATAAAAAACAAAACAAGTAGTGTTCTTGGAAATAACCAGTTAGAATTATATTGTCAGAACCATGGCTAGGTGTGGTAAATGTGTCTGCAACAATGGTCCTGGAAGAAGACAGAGACAAGCAGGTCCCCGGAGCTCGGTGGCCAACTAGTCTACCTAAACAGCAAGCACAGTTTCAGAGACTCAGAAACAAGGTGAGGAGCGACAGAGGACACATGACATCAGCCTCTGGCCTCTATACACATACTGTACACGCACATAAGCATGTACCTCTCTCTCTCTCTCTCTCTCTCTCTCTCTCTCTCTCTCTCTCTCTCTCTCTCTCTCTCTCTCTCTCTCTCTCTCTCTCTCTCTCTCACACACACACACACAAAGAGGGGTGTGTGCGAGAGACATGCATAACTTGCAGCTTTGTTTTAAAATCCCTTCTTAGATTATGCAGAATTTAAATATTTTGTAGATAGAACAATTACATAATGACAACCAGGTTTATGACAACAATTACATAATGACAACTAGGTTTATAATATCTTTTGTGGTGGTTTACAGACTTCCTTCTAGATATCTTAAGCGTGGGATTCCAAAGATCCTTTGGAGACCAGAGGGTAGAAGGGAAAGAGAGAGTTGGCTGAAGAAAAGCTTTTGTAGTAAGTGTTTGAATTTAAATTTCCAGGTAATTCACTCAAAACAAAGAAAATTCAGGCACTAAAAAATCTAGAGTCAGCCACTTCTTGAAATTCAAATGTTAATTCTAGGATAGCATTGGGACTTTCACATATATTGCCAATCCCATCTACAGCTCCAAGTAGGGTGTAAGGAGTGGAAATAATTCACCTCTGAGCTCTTTTTATGCTACCTCTTTTACTACTGTTGGACCCCATGGTAGCCTGCAGTCAGAAGTGACAGTAGGGAGAGGGGAGAACAGGGCTAAAATAAAGGATGAGGAGATTTTACCTGACTAATAAGAATGCCTGTGACAATGGCCAGTTGGTGAAGAGTACCCAGGGCACCCCGGAGCGTTGTTGGAGCGATTTCACCAATATACATTGGAACCAGTCCTGAAATTAGCCCTGTGTGAGACATAAACATAGAAATGTTAAAATGCAACCTGGGACATTTCAGTAACAATTATGTAGTTCAATTACAGTTAGTATCCTTACTAAAAGTCACTCCCCAGGTGTTTTGGAGGAGCTATTGTCCCCAACCATGGGGCGTACTAATGTAAATTAATGTAGAAAACTCTTCTTCTTCTTCTTCTTCTTCTTCTTCTTCTTCTTCTTCTTCTTCTTCTTCTTCTTCTTCTTCTTCTTCTTCTTCTTCTTCCTCCTCCTCCTCCTCCTCCTCCTCCTCCTCCTCCTCCTCCTCCTCCTTCTTCCTCCCATTCTGTCTCCTCTTCTTTTCTCTTTCTCTTCTTCCTCCCTCTCCCCATTTCTCTCTCTCTCTCTCTCTCTCTCTCTCTCTCTCTCTCTCTCTCTCTCTCTCTCTCTCTCTCTCTCTCTCTCTCTCTCTCTCTCTCTCTCTCTCTCTCTCTCTCTCTCTCTCTCTCAAGTTTTCCAGATAGGATTTCTCTGTGTATCCATGGCTGTCCTGGAATTCACTTTGTAGACTAGACTGGCCTTGAACTCACAGAGATATCATACTAAATGAAGGTATAGTTGAAAGTATTAATGGAAAGAAATGCTTAGTTATGTATCCTGCGGTTTCTGTGATCTTAGTATTTACTTCATAACGTAATGACTTAGGCTGTCTTGAGAAAAGAGGCTAGGGATGCCTCAGTATTCATCCAGACTTACAGGATTAATGAAAGTCAGGGCTGGGGAGATGGCTCTGTAGTTAAGAGCAATGGTTACTCTTCCAGAGGACCTGGGTTCAATTCCCAGCACCCACATGGCAGCTCACACCTGTGTGTAACTCCAGTTCCAGAGGATCTGACACCCTCACACAAGACGTACAGGCAGTTAAAACACCAATACACATAAAATAAATACATCTTTAAAGAAAGGAAGTCAGAACATCAAAGGAAAGCCAACCTCCTAAGAGAGGTGAGAGATGACTTGCCCCGTATCAGTGGACAAGAATGCCACATGTAGGTTCCATGCCTAACTGAATCCACACCACATGGGGATACCTCAAGCTCTCCATTGGGTGTTAGTAAGGTACAGAAGAAATCGAGGGTATGTAAGTTAAGGATTCTTCCCCAGCTGTCCCAGTAAGAATAACCTAGCTTCATTATTCCATCAAAAATCTTAGGTTCAAATACTTGTCAACAGAATCCAAGAACACCTCAAAAAGGTCATCCACCATGATCAAGTAGGCTTCATCCCAGAGATGCAGGGATGGTTCAACATATGAAAATCATTCAGTGTAATCCACCATATAAACAAACTGAAAGAAAAAAACATGATCATCTTATTAGATGCTGAAAAAGCCTTTGACAAAATTCAATACTCCTTCATGATAAAGGTCTTGCAAAGAATAGGGATAGGGATACAAGGGACATACCTAAACATAATAAAGGCAATATACAGCAAACTGATAGCCAGCATCAAACTAAATGGAGAGAAAGAAACTCAAAGCAATTCCATTAAAATCAGGAACAAGACAAGGCTGTCCACTTTCTCCATATTTATTCAATATAGTACTAAAAATTCTAGCTAAAGCAGTAAGACAACAAAGGAGATCAAAGGGATACAAACTGGAAAGGAAGAAGTTGAACTTCTGCTATTTACAGCTGATATGATAGTATACATAAGTGACCCCCAAAACTCTTCCAGGGAACTCCTACAGCTGATGAACATCTTCAGTGAAGTGACTGGATACAAGATTAACTAAAAAAACACTATCCATCCTATACACAAATGACAGACAAACTGAGAAAGAAAACAGGGCAACAACACCCTTCATAATAGCCATAGATAATATAAATTCTTTTGGGTAACTCTAACCAAGCAAGTGAAAGATTTGTATAACAAAAACTTAAAGTCTAGAGAAAGATATTGGAGAAGATATCAGAAGATGGAAAGATCTCCCATGCTCATGGGTTGGTAGAATTAACACAGTAAAAATGGCCATTTCACTAAAAGAAAACTACAGATTTTATTTGAAAAAAGACTGAAATACAAAGATTTTGAAAAGTACTGAGTCATTATGCTTTCTATATCTTTCTTTTTTATTGCATTCATTTGTTTATTTATTTCATGTGTGTGCACACTAGTGTGTTTCTATCTCCATGAAAGTTAGAGGGAGTTTATTCCCTCTCTCCATGTGGGACCCCACAATTGAAGTCAGGTTGTCAGGTCCCATGGCAAGTGCTTTTACTTGCTGTGCCTCCTCTCTGATTTTTTCATAGTTTCCTTTTTTTAGAGGTATATTTAACTTTATTTTACATGTATGAGTGGTTTTACCTCCATTTATGTTACGCATGCCTGTTGCCCATGGAGGCCAGAGGATGACATCAGATTCTCTGGACCTGGAGTTTACAAATGGTTGTGAGATGCTATGTAGGTGCTGGGAACTGAACCTAGGTCCTTTGGAAGAGCTGTACCCCATTGTTAAATTGGGTTATTTGGTATTTGATATCGTTTCTTGAGTTATTTTGGAGATCAGCCTTCTTTCAGATGTGGGGTTGGTGAAGACCTTTTCCCATTCTGCAGGGAGTTGTTTTGTCTTATTTACCATGTCCTTTGCTTTACAGAAGCTTCTCAGTTTCAGGAGGTCCCATTTATTAATTGTTGTTCTCAGTGTCTGTGCTGCTCTTAACGAATGAACTGTCACTCTAGACTTCCTGTAGGTGTCTTAAACACACAGACAATTGGATGCACTATAATAGGAGCATATCTGGACATTTACTAATTGCAGACTTTGGTGTTTTCTTAAAAACTTAAAAATAAGATTTATTATGGGCTTTGTATTTGAGATAGCTACGTTCTAAATGAAAATAGATGGTCTTTGGACAAAAGGTACTTTTGTCAACTATTTTTAATATATAATTTAACACTCCACATTGTTTTAGATGTTGCAAATGCATATTCACATGGTTGGTATAGCATTTGTACCTCTGCAGAATTTTACATGTGACTCTGACCTGTGGCTTATGGAGCTTGACTAAGAGATAGTCACCTACTTGTCCCTTTCTCTACATTTCAAGGAAATAATGACAGAACTAAGCTCCCAGAAACTTGAATTTAAATTCTATTTCTTATCATTTTTAGTAAACTTTAATACTCAGAATTTGGGGTATAGATGTAAACATAGAATTCTCAACAGAAGAAACTCAAAAGGTCAAAAGACATTTAAGGAATTGCTTAACATTCTTACATATCAGGGAAATGCAAATCAAAACAACTCTGAGATACCATCTTATACCTATTACAATGGTGACAACTTATGTTGGAGAGGGATATGGAATAAGGGGAACACTCCTCCACTGCTGGTGAGAGTGTAAACTTGTACAGCCACTTTGGAAATCAGTATGGCAGTTTCTCATAAAATTAGGAATCAATCTACCTCAAGACCCAGCAATGCCACTCTTGGGCATATACCCAAAGGATGCTCAATCATTCCACAAGGACACTTGCTCAACTATGTTCATAGCAGCATTATTTGTAATTGCTAGAACATGGAAAAAAACTTACATGCCCCTGAACCGAAGAATGTATAAAGAAAATTTGGTACATTTACACAATGGAGTATTACTTAGTGGTAAAAACAAACAAACAAACAAACAAAAGACAATGACATCATGAAATTTGAAAGCAAATAATGGAACTAGAAAAAAATCGTCCTGAGTGAGGTAACCCAGATCCAGAAAGGCAAACACAGTATGTACTCACTCATAAGTGGATATTAGACATAAAACAAAGAATAACGAGGCTACAATCCACAGTCCCAGAGAAGCTAGGTAATAAGGGGGGGGGCTAAGAGGTATCTTCCTAGGAAGAGGAAATAGATGACATCTCCTGGGTAAGTGGGGATGAAGGATGGTAGAGGGGAGGGAATGGGGGATGGGAATATGAGGTATTGTGATGGCTGAGTTGGGGGAGAACAATGAAAGATATATCTGATAGAGGGAGACATTATGGAGTTAGAGAGAAACTTGGTGCCAGGGAAACTCCCAGGAATCCACAAGGATGACCCCAGCTAAGATTCCTAGCAACAGTGGAGAGGATGCCTGAACTGCCCTTCTCCTGCAATCAGATTGGTGACTACCCTAATTGTCATCAGAGAGTCTTCATCTAGTAACTGATGGAAGCAGATGCAGAGATCCACAGCCAAACCTGGGCTGAGCTCTGGAAGTCCAGTTGAAGAAGGAGGAGGGATTGTAAGAGCAAGGGAGGTTGTCAAAATCATGATGGCAAAACCTACAAAGACAGTTGACCCAAGCTAGTGGGAGCTCATGGGCTCTAGACGGACAGCTAAAGAGCCTGCATCAGACTGACCTAGGCCTTTTGCATGTGGGTGACAGTTGTGTAGTTTGGTCTGTTTTGGGGGCCCCTAGTAGTGCGACCAGGTCCTGTCCTTGATTGTATGAACTAACTTTTTGGAACCTATTTCCTATGGTGGGATGCCTTGCTCAGCCTTGGTACAGAAGGAAGGAATTTGATCCTGTCTCAACTTGATATGCCATGTTTTGTTGACCATCGGAGGCCTTACCCTTTATGAGGAGTGGATTGGTGGGGAAGGGCTTAGAAAGGATGTGGAGGGAGGGAACTGGAGGAGATGGAGGAGGAGAAACTGGTTGGCATGTAAAATAAATTAAAAAATTTAATTAAAAAAAGAAATCCTGTCTTCAAAACCCAGTGCTGCTGATCAGATACGAAGTTCAGGGGAGGAAGGACTCCACTAGCTATTTCTTTCCAATTACCTCTCTCTACGGACACCACAGTTTTACTGCTCCAAGCAGCTATGTCTGGAATCAAACAGGGTTAGGTAGTGTGTTCTAAGAGATCAATCTAGGAGGGCAGGCCACACCCATGAAAGGCAGAGGCACCACAGCACAGGCTATGAGAGCAGGGTCAGGGTCTGAAGAGAGGATGGCCTCTACCTGTTGGGGCAGCATGTGAGTAGTAGCAACAGCTGGTGGTTATCTTCACTCAGTATCTGACAGAAGTTGTGCTGGACACATTACATATGTTCCCCCAGTTCCTCTTGAGCAGCGGTCCTCAACCTTCCCAATACAGTGACCCTCTAAGGCAGGTCCTCAGGTTGTGGTGACCCCCAACCATAAACTGTTTTCTGTTGCGACTTGATAATTGTGATTTGACTACTGTTATGAATCATAGTGTAATGTAAACATGTGTGTTTTCTGATAGTCTCAGGCAACCCCTGTGAAAGGGTCATTCAACCCCAAAGGGGTTGCGACCCACAGGTTGAGAATGGCTGCACTAGGGACAGATGTTATTGTCATCTTCATTTCACAGATTGGGAAAGGGAGAATCAGTAATATAATTTATGTGAGATCAAACTAGAACTGATGTTGTTGTGGACAGGATCAGGGACATGGCCAGCATCACAGTTCTCTGTGACTCTCCCCCATTGCCTTCCTTTTGTGATGCCATCATAGGCTCCACAAATCTGCCTAGAGTAGCTTTCAGACAAGGACCTGTATGTATCTCACTCACCACAGTAGAATCCTGATATGCTTCTTCCGGCAATGATGAGGATATGTGATGGTCCTAATTTGGAACACCCCATCAGGAGAGCTCCAGTCAGTGAGAGACTGTTTGCTGCCAACATGGCTTTGATTCTGAAAATTTAAAAACCATTTTAAATTCAGCACCAAAATGTGAAGAAATTACTTGTTTCCAGACCATGTTGAACGCTTTGCCCATGAACAATTAGTTTTAGTTTTACTGAAAAGCTAGCTCAGGATTCTTGAAGCATGTCTGATACATCCTGATCTGTAAGCTGGTATGCGTGAGCAGTGAGTACTAGCCACGATGGAATTTCGTCTGTCTGGCTCTTGTTTTCATAGAGACAACTCCCTTGTTTTGCTTTGTTTTTGTGTTTTGGAGATGTGGCTCTGGCTAACGGGACCTTACTCTGTAGCTCAGGTTATTCTTGAGCTCTCAAAGACCCCTCTGTCTCAGCCTCCAGAGCCCTGAGATTATAGGCATGAGTCACCATGGCAGGCTAAGTGTTTTGATATAAGGTGACACTTCTGATGCTTACTAAGTTATTTGATTTTTCTAGAATTTGTTTGCTTTAAAGAACACTGTTTTGGTGACTGAAAAGCTGATTTTGTAATTGCTATCTATCATTTGTCTCTTTATCATTTTGCTGATAGTAAAGAGTTTTATTTGCTGCTTTGGAGTCAGCGTTCCTTTAATGGACATCTTTTTCGGAAGTAGATGAAAACATTTTTCTAAAGTTTGTTGTAATTATAATTACCCCTATTTTCACACAAAGTCAGCATATTTATTTGTAAAATCTATGAATTAATAGTAACAAAATTTAAAGAATTACATTATTTTTGAGACAGAGTCTAGGCTGATGCAGAATTCACTCTGTGGTCTATCCAGGCCTTGGGCTTGTGTTAATTCTTATGCCTCAGCCTCCTGAGTGTTAGAAGACTATTGGTGAAAGTGCAGCCCAGTTGTAGTAGAAATCCCCAGCATTTTGTAGATGCCAGTATCATGGAATGGCTACTAAAAACAGGAGCAGCAGCGGAGTGGAGCCTGTCTGAGCTTAGAAGATAAGCTGTGTGTGCTGCAGAGGAAGGAGTTGGAGAAGTGACCCAAGCCACTTTTTGGAGGAGCCCACAAGATGGTAAAGTGAGTCCCAGACATTGGACATGGAGTTAATTACACAGCTGGAGTTCGCTTTTGCTTTGTTCAGATTGTGACTCTGTCCTGATTCTTCTATCTTGAAGAAAGGAAGTATTTATATTAATTTTGATTTTTTTTTTACAGGAGCCCACAGTTGAGAGATTTCAAACTTTTAAAAGAGATTTTGGATCTTTAAAGAGATTGAATTTTAAATGTGGAATTTGTAAAGACTATGGGTCTTTTAAATATGGGAAGGGGTTATGAACAAGCAATAGGGGGCTAGTATTATTTGGAGAGGACAAGGCAGGGATTTGCCACCCCCCAGAGCTTCTAGAAGGAATCAGCCCTCCTATATTATTGGCTTTAGTCAAGGATAATGAATGTTAAGAGTTTGATCTCCAAAACTGAAAGAAAATTAGTTTGTGTTGTTTTGGGCCACTAGGCTGGTGACAATTCATCACAGTAGCAGGAGGGCATAAGGAAATCATGGACTAACTTAGAGTAGGTAGTGTTCTAGCGCTGGCTAGCCCTGGGGCGACAGTGCAGAGACCCCGTTAGAGGGTGACTCTGCTCAGACTCCGATGGAGTGCTGAGAGAGGGTACACACAGCTAATGGTTTACCCTAAGAAGTTGTTACAAGCTGATAGTCTATTCTATCAGGCAGGACAAAGATGACAATAGAAGATTGGGCCAACCAGCAGTGAGTCCTAGCGGAGCAAGGGTCCCATGAGACCTCATCCCTCCCTAAGGGTCTACAGACAGCAAATGCTTGCTGGAAGAAGGAGAGAGTCGCTCATCAGTGGTATAACAACTGTTAGGTTGCCCAAGCTCCTAAAAACAACCCCTCTTCCATGCTTGTATAAATTATTGATTAAACTCATTGGCTCACTAAGGAGAAAAGAAGAGAATAAAGGAAAAGGGAAAGGGATGAAAGCATACGGGGTCACAAGTTGGTAGGGGGAGGGGATTCGAGGGTGTAAAGGAAGAGGCTGAAGATATTGAGGTGTAAATGTGATAAAATATTTAATGTGCATGTATGAAAATGTTATAATGGAACCTACTATTAGGTATAGTTCATATATGCCTAAAAACATAAATAATTTAAAGTTTTTAGTAGTCAGGAGTTTTCTTAACTAAGGGTATTATAATAACCTGAACTTTATTGCATACTTGAAAAGGAGTTTCCTTCATGAATAATCGATTTCTACATTTTTACTGTTTTTTTGTGTTTTATACAATTTCATTAGAAGGAAGTGTCAGAATTTTAATAATTAATGAGTCCAAAGCTATAATTTACATTAGGAAACAGAAAGATAAAATGAATTAAATTCAGCATTATGAGGCTAATTACCAAATTGCCTCTTTCTCTTTTAATTTTTTTTGCATTTTCTAAATTTTCCATGTTTGGCATGTGTTAATTCTATTGTGAAAATAAAAGGTAATTAATACACAAAATTGAACTCAATTAATAGGAAATCAGTTTAAAAATAGTAACTTGCTCTTCTAACTTATCAGAAGCCCTAACTTTGGTACATCCTTTAGCAAGTGTATGAAGGAAATTACTCCACTGATGCATTCTTTAAAATTCGTTTTAAAATTTGAGTATGTGTGTATGCGTCTTGAAGGTGGCTGTGTGCAAGATTGAGTGTAGGTGCTCTTGGAGACCATGAATGTGAATTGGGTCACCTGTAGCTAGAAGTACAGGTAGAGGGCCCTGAGAACCAAATTCAGGCCCACTGCAAGCTCGGCATTGCCTCATACCCACCAAGCTATTCCTCTCATGACATGGATGTTTTAAACACGACTAGGAGCTGGAGCTGGGAATCTCTTCCTTAGTGCCATCTCTGTTTGGGGCTTTCCGATTGTAGCCTGAGTGTCAGCGGAAAGTGAGCCCTGTGCTCAGTGGTGTGTTGATTTGTCAGGATATGAGGGTGACCACAGGACTTGATTAATACAAGTTCAATTTTTAACTTAATCGTGAAAACAATGTTTGGGAACTGATGTAATTTGGTGGCACGTTCCTCACAGGTTTTAAAACTTACAAAACCAGAGGATCAAAGTCTCTGGAAACAAGCATGGCATTCACTCTTTTCTGCAAATACTTCCACAGTGACCAGGATTTACCCAATGATTGCAACAATATTTTCTATTGATTTGGCCTAGCAAGTGACCTTGCTCACAGGAGTCTAAGTTGAAAAACAAAGTTAACACTACCACACAAATGGGAAGAAAGTATCTCTCTATAAAAAGCAGTAACAAAATATTAAAACTGTGTTTATATTTTTGCATAAAACTCACCTTCCAAGCTTGTTCCCTAACCACCCACCAAAGAATGAGGCGACCATTCCACCCACTGCGAAGCTGGACACAGACAGAGACCAGAGCACAGTGATGAGGTGAGCGGATCCTGCAGCCTCTTTGTCAGTTAGGGGGGCTGGTGTTGTGTATGCTGGCGTTGCGTATGCTGGCGTTGCATATGCTGGCGTTGCGTATGCTGGCGTTGCGTATGCTGGCGTTGCGTATGCTGGCGTTGCATATGCTGGCGTGACTGGGAGTGGGGTGTCTGTGCTGTTGACAGCATAGTTACTGGTAGCTCTTCGGTCATCCACCGCAACACCCAAAATATGTTGATAGTGGGATACTATTACCTGAGGAAATAGGGAAAGACATCCATGACTTCAAAATTGCACATACAGCTTTTGATTTCCCGTTACATGTTTGTTGGGCGTTTAAGCAGGGAAGCCAATTGTGTGAACTGTACAATACAGATATGGGTAGACTGATTTACAGTTGGTCGTGTCCTGTGAAAAAGAGATGATGGACACAGGCAAGGGGAGTAAGGCGGGAAGAGACGCCTGAGAGAAGTGTGGGGGACCTGGGAAGGCACTGAAGTATACTTTACGCTAGCCGGTCGACGGCTGCAGGTGCCTGGCTTTGTGGAATGGCATGGCAGCATCTGCCCTGGCTGAGCAAGGAGGTTGCAAAGGAAAGGCTCATCAAAGGGCAGCCTTTGCTTTTCTAATATCTGTCAGAGATCTTGGTGTTTATGAAGAGCTTTCCAATTTATTTTCTTTTACAATTTTTTAAAATTTAGATTAGAAACAATCTTGTTTTACATGTCAATCCCAGTTCCCTCTCCCTCCACTTCTCTGCTGACCCCACCGGCCCCCTATCCTGTCCCCTTTCTGCTCCCTAGGGAAGGTGAGGCCTCCCATGGGGAATCTTCAAAGACTGTCACATCATTTGAAGCAGGGTCTAGGCCCTCCCCCATGTGTCTAGGCTGAGAGAGTATCCTTCTATGTGGAATGGGCTCCCAAAGTCCATTTGTACACTAGGGATAAATACTGACCCACTCCCAGAGGCCCTATAGATTGCCCAGACGTCCTAACTGACACCCACGGTCAGGAGTTCTGGGTTGGTCCTATGCTGTTTTCCCAGCTATCAGTCTGGGGTCCATGAGGTCCCCCTAGAGCTTTCCGAGTTTTAAATGGTGACAACTACTTACATTGAAGATCCTCTTCAGGTAGAGAAGATAGATTTTTATATGACTGTTAGTTTCACATGAAGGATTTAATAGTAACATAAAAGGAAAAAAATAACTACTGGCAAAGCTCTGAGTAAAAATTAAAGTTAGAACTATATAAAAATTTAGCACCCGGTGTTATATCCTCGGTAGAAGTGAGCTATAAACTTATACTTACACTTCCTAACAGTTAATGCAAATAGACCCAAGTGGTCAAGTCTAGAACTGATGAATTTTCAAGATTAAAAACAGCTTAGATAGAACCGAGAAGGTATGAAGGCTTCTTCTATGGGTCCTCAGAGAGGTTCGTATATCCCAGAAGGAATAGTCCTCAACACTAAATTTCTAGCCACATTTCATGTGGCTAGAAGATGTATCCTATAGCCTTTCCTCCTCCATCCCATTCTTCTCGGCAATGATAGATCATTGCTCAGCCCCAGTAATTTGGGCAGTTCCTCTCCAACAAGGACCTGACCACAGCTGCTCACTTTTCCTGGTTATGAATAAAGTCCTATTTGTAAGCAAGCTGAGCCACAGGCAGATTTGGCAATCCCTATTCACGGTCTGTCTCCTAGGCGGCTGTCCTAAAACAATAGTATGCATGGAGAAAGACTGAAAGGAATTATGCAAAATGTTCTTAGCAGTTTAATATATGGAATAGAAATAATTTCAGGTAATTTTATCTTCTATTTTCTGCAGTGGGCAAGTGTAATTTTTATGCTCATGAAAAATCGTAATTTAAAAATACCTTCAAATATTATCCAACCAGTAGAAAATGCCAGTAGGGGTTTGTGCTTTCAGTTCTGACTCGGGGACTTAGATTGAAGGAGGGTGGTCTCAGTCTACCTTTCTGATAAGACTAGAGGATGGATTCAGAGGGTATGTGGAAAGGGCTTCCAGAAAGGAAGGATTTGTAAGTTGGCCTGGATCTTAGTAGGCTTAACAACCAGCACAATCTTTCATTGTTCATAGAAACCATCTCACTCTAGTCTCCTACCCCCACCGGCATTATTCCCTGGAAGCCAGAACAAGAGGCTTGACATGCTAAGGATGGTGCATACTTAATGGAAAACCATCTTTCAACCCTAGGAGCCAAGGACCAGTGCTTGTTGGACTATGGGCTGCACACATTCCAGTGTTAACTCCCTGTGGTGTCTTACCATTTTCTTAGAACTGTAAGACAAGCAGATAAAATGATGAAATTTGGCAGATGTGCTTACAGTACCCACCCTGTCCTCACTGTACTCCTTCCTGAGGTGTACTCCACTCCCAGTCTGAGTTGGAGCACAAAGGTGTGGTCGTGGTCCCCTAGCTAAGGGGCTGTGACATCAGGGAAGAGTGAGATCTCTCTCTGAGGATCCATTGCATTTAACAGAGCACATATACAAAGAATGCACACAGAAATGGTAGGAATTCTCCATTTATGTTTCCTCACAAAGGGCCACGAACTTTCTCCATTACAGTGGAGAAAACCCAAAGTTTTTGTACCTTCTGACCACCAAGCTAACGATTATATTATTTTGTGCTGAAGGTCTATGGGAGACAGGGAGAGGGAAGGACGGTTATCATTTTAGTGTTTGACTCCCAAAGTTTACCGTGTGCCAGAGAAACGAGTCTAAGGTTGGGACGATCTGCTTGAGGAAAGCCTGATGCCAACAGAACAGAAAGGTGCTCATGGCTGCACTGAGTGGAACACGCACTTCTCTTGTTCCCCTTGTCATTCATGCCTGGGTGACAGCTCTGACTGAATGCTGCAAGGAATTCTTGCCTTTAGACCTCTTGAGCAGGAGGTATTGAGTTAGCATTTTCTCTGAGCTCAGAGAACAGCAGTGCCAGAGATAAAAAAATGTTATACACTGATCTTTTTGGCCCAGAGGGTTGTTAACCCAGGATCAAGGGCAAATTATCAGCTGTGAACCAATGCACATTGTACTTGGCTGGCCAGGCTCACCCCATGTGTCTCACGTGGACACTTTATCTTAGTGTGTGAGGAACATATGATACTCTGGGCAGGAGGAAAAGATCGGACTTGCCCTAGAAGGACTGTGTGTGGGTTTCACTTGCCTCTTGAGGTGCATTGATCACTCCGATGTCATATCCAAACTGGAAGGACCCCAACACGGCAGTGAAGACAGTGAAAGCCAAGGTTCCAGTGATCTGAGGATGAAAAACAAAGGCAGGAAGCAGCAGTTTCTGCCACCTGACTGACCTCCCACCTCTGCCGCACAGGCTCCAACAGGTGCTGGCTCTTTCCCTCCCACAGCCAATCACAGCCCTATGCTCGGCAGGGCAGGTGTTGTTCTAGGCGAATGTGAAAGCTGTTCACCACTTTCTTTTTTTCTCCCCACAGAGACAGGGTTTCTCTGTGGTTTTGAAGGCTGTCCTGGAACTAGCTCTTGTAGGCCAGGCTGGTCTCAAACTCATAGAGATCCTCCTGCCTCTGCTTCCCAATTGCTGGGATTAAAGGCGTGCACCACCACCACAGGGGCCACTATTTTCTTATATTGCTAACGCTGAAAGAAAAATAAACATCAGGACAGCTTTTCCAGGGTACAAACATAACATTTTCTTTGTGCCTTAAAAACACACACACACGCACACACGCACACACACGTGAGACAGAGAAGGAAAGGGGACAGAGAGGAGAGGTAGAAACCATAGGCCAGGCAGGTTTTGAACTCTGCTTTGTAGTTGAGGCAGATGTTGAACATCTGGTCTCCAACCTTGCTTATGGGCTGCTAGGGGCAAGTCCATGGCTTTGTTCATGTTAGGCAAGCACTTCACCGATTGAGTTTAATCCCCAAACCCACATTAATAGTTCTTCAAGATTCAAAGTCAGAACTGAGAATTAGAATTGCTGCTGAAGGGAAACAGAAATGCCAGTGCAGAACAGTCCTATGGCAGCATCAGTAGAGATGGGGCCTTTCCAGACGTTCCCACTCTGCAGAAACGCCCAGCACCTGCATCACAGCCATCCTGTTTGTCATGATCTGTGCAGTATCCAGAGACCTTTCCAGACATTTGCACTCTACAGAAAAAAAACGGCATCTGCTTCAGAGCATCCTGTTTGTCATGATCTGAACCAGTATCCAGGCAAGAGTGCTTTCCAGGGTTTGCATGAATCTGAGCATAGAGTTGTGAGTTAGGCCCCATTGCTTTCTTTCCAATGTAGGGAAGCTACCCTAAAACTGCAGAGCAATCAGCTCATTATTAACTACTCATCCAGTCAGCTGACAGGAGTCATGCACACAGACACACAGGTCAGGCTACCTACAACAGCAGCTTGCAGAAATAACTGTTGTTCAGCAGGGATGGCCAAACAGATTCAGTGGCATCATGATACACATCAGATACATACAACACTCTATACAGCAATATGACCAAATCTATTGGTTTTTGCTGTTTTTTTTTTTTGTTTAGAGACAGGGTCTTACTTTGTAACCCTGGATAGCCTGGAACACATAATGTAGACCAGGCTGGCCTCAAATCATAGTCCTCCTGCCTCTGCCTCCAGAGTGCTGGAATTAGAGTGGGCTGCTATAGCCAGCTTGGCTTGTTTTTAAACAGTAGATGAAATTGTAAACCTTACTAAGTGATTTGTCACAGACTGATTCATTGATGTTTTACAGTGCTGGGAGTCAGGCCTGGTGCCTTCTGCATGCTGGGGAAACTGTCTGCATACTACAGCTTTAGCTCACTAATGCTTTGAAAAGGACTTACACACAAATATTGCTTGACTTATGCATAAAATGTTTCATTGAAGAATAAATTAACAAGTGACTCTTCCATAAGGCTGGCGAAGTAGAGGTAAAACGAATATTTTTGAAATTTATACTGTTAGGTGTTTTATAGGGATATGTTGTATGTGTCATCATATAATCTAAAATTTCAGCCAGTAGCACAGGAGATAGTGGGTGTTTTGCTGGGTGAGTGGATGAGTCACATCAACATGGATTTTGTTTGCTTGGTCTTTCTTTCTTTCTTTCGTTCCTTCCTTCCTTTCTTGTTCTTTCTTTTTTTACACCTTAAGTGCCTCTGCCTATTTCCCCTATAGCATCTTTGGTTTTTGTCTGAATTACAAGATGTAAATCTCTGCACTCCAGTATGAAGAATAAATAGTTATCCAGTACCCTGATTCTCTAGTAATATTCCAGTTCAGTGTAACCATCAACAAATTCTCACAGGACCTTCCTAGGGACCCTAGAAGTTCTTCAACCCACTGACTTTGAAACAAGACTTTGTTCTGGGCCTTAATAAGTGCATAACTCCTACAACACCCCAAGTCCTTCTGTTGCATTGGAATCTCACTTGGGTATGTGCAGTCTGTAGGTGTATACAACTCACTTATTTTTTAAAGCTTTAGGTGACCTTTGTTCAGGCTGGTAATGTCAGCAACTTTGTCCTGACTGCAGAATAGATGCAAAGATATTGCCTGTCTGTCTGTCTGTCTTCCCACCTGTCTCTCCCCTCCAAAGATACATGTATGTATTCATGCACATCACATGCATCATGTATTTATTACGGATAATGTACACATATTTACACATAAGTTATCTTGTACACAAGCAAGTAATATTTAAAATATGCATACATACTTACTATATGGCATATAGTATATAGGCTGATGCAAGGTTTTCAATGGTTCTCTAAAATGTTATAAGACATTTGAAACTCAGAAAATAAAAGCTAGGATGGAATTCCGTTTACTGGGTGAGTGGTTTATCCTCAAGTCATCTTCCCCTCAAGCTGTTTCCAAGGATCAGGATTTCTTTTTGTTTACAGAAAATGATTATCATCAGCAGCAGCGAGGAACCAGGTGCATCGGGAGGGCTCTGGCATACTCTCAGCCACTATAATGTAGCCACCCTGATGTGAGGAGAAGCACAAACCCCGCTTCGGAGCCCAGTGCTGAGGATGCTTCCTGCTTGCCCAGTTGCTGCTTTATACAGATTATTTCATTTACTCCGGACATTAATTTTCCACTGGAGCTATAAAAAACTTCCTACCAACTCAGTGGCTTGAACCATACAACCCGATTTGTCTTACAGGTGTTCAGGTTAGAAGTCTAGTTTGCGTCTCTGCAGGTGATAATCAATATGTTAGCAGGCTATGTTCCCTTTGAGACTGTAGTGGAAAATTTGAGTTGATGGTAGGATTCACTTCCTCGTGGTGGTCGATCCTGAGGCTCCCTGCTGGCTGTAATGGGGGGCTTCTGTGTTGCAGAGGCTAGCATGCTCGTTGACTAAGGGTGCTCTTCCAGCATCTTTGCAGCAAGTCCTTGTCACATTGCATCTCTCAGATTCTGACGAGTTCTTCACTTTCAGGAATGCTCGATGCTACATTTAACACCTCTGGGTAAGCCAAGACTGTCTTTCTAAGGTCCTTAGCATATGCTATGCCTGTCAAATTATCTAGGTGGTGTGGCCATATATTTACTCTGAAAAAAATTTCTTCATGACAGGGAAATTTTATGAAATCTACTAAGCACTAAAAATCCCATCTGCCTTCATCCGCCCATTCTAATGGCAAAGAGATTGGCATGGGCAGTTAGAGAGAGCAAAGACAAGCAGTGAGCTCCTAAATAGGGTTTGCCTGTTCTCTCAAAGTCATCATTTCTCACCCCGGGAAATGAGGAAACGGAAGTAACTTGTTCAGAAGGCAAGTGAAGGAAAAATCTTCAAGTCCTTTCGCTAAACTCCTTCCTAGGACATGGGCTGCTAAGCCAGAAACACTTTTAAAGGTCAAGTTTTACTTGGAGTTTAATATATTTTGGTTGGAGAAATTAGTTCCCATGTGCAGTTAAAAATACACTGCAGATAAACATGGAAGAATAGAACAGGCTAGAAGCATGGGACCAGGGAGATGCTCAGCAGCTACAGGTGGTGCCGCCAAGCTTGTGCGTTAAACACCTGGGACCCACACGGTGGTAAGTGAGAACTGACTCCTGAAAGTTGCCTTCTGACCTCCACATGTGTGCTGTGACAGGAGCACATGTGTGCGTGCATGCATGAACACACACACACACACACACCAAATGTATAAAATTTTAAAACTCAATGCAGAAGTAGTTGAACCTTAACATGAAATAAACTGTGGTATGTTTTTTGTAGCTTGGATGTCTTATGTCGTCTATCAGCATGGTCAAGTAGTTGCTAAAGTCAGAAAACATAGAAAGGGGTCCTACATGACCTTTAGTATCCCTGTGCCTCAGTTTCTTTACCTTTGAAATGGTCATAAATAGTAGGTGATGGGTGGGATTATGAGACTGGTGTGCTGTGACTGAGCTCAGGAGGTGCCTTGGACAGGGTTAGTGTAAAAATGAACATAAGCAATGCGGTCTCCTTTAGGAGAGGGCACACACCAAATGCCTTTCTACCCATATCACTGTCATCTCAGGGGTTGCCCTTACGAAGCAACCATCTATCACCTTTTCACACATCGTTAATAGGACCCCAAACAGCGTGAGGAGCAGGCCGGTTGACCTCTCCTCCGTGGCCGAGGAAGCCATGCTCATGGAGGGCTAAGAGGGTTAAACGAACTATAACTAGTCTGTGGCAGATATCCTGGTATGGAACATTTAAACTTCCACTGCTAAATAAAAGAGCAGGTTTTCCAGCACCAACTGATGGACTAGGAAGGGGAAAATGTTTGATTTGCCTCCACATGCTTCCAAAACCAAGACAAAGATGATTTTACATCCAATATTGAAGACCAGATACTTCTCATGCCATAGAATTTTCAGACCCAAAGGAATTTAAAAAGTGACAGATGTTTGTCTGGTACCTCCCTTTATCAACGGAAGAAATGGAGGACTCCCAGACTGTGACCCTTGCCTGAATTTTCTGTGCATTGTGGGTATGTCCAGACTGACTCTGACTTTGCTGAACCACCGTCCCCTGGTCACCCCTTTAAATGGCAGTGGATTCACAAACCTGCAAAGCCCTGCCTATTATTCCAGTCTCCACACTTTCTGTGTTCTGCTATTAGGCAGTTCCTTGAGGAAAGTTCTTACAGTTTAGTCTCTAAAGCACTGGGGGAATTTACCAAAGCCTGAAGGTTGGCTCTGAGATTGTCCCTTTGACAACATCTTCTAGACATTAGGTATATGGATGACGCCTTGTCATATTTGCTGAGTCTGTACGCCATCCCATAGTTACTAGTTTAATACGTATCTGTGAATTGTCATTGTAGTTCGCCCTGTTGTAGCTTTATCCCAAGCTATAGCACCCACAGAATCATGATTCCAGGGTCATTCTTTAAATGTGCATTGTGCAAATACAGAGATGACATTTAAGCATTTTCCCTCAAAGCCTTTCTGATGTTGTCTTTACTTACTCTCAAATTCCGAGGAGATTACTTCACTTACAGAATACTAAAACAAAGTCCAGAGAGTCCATGTCAGACTCCAAGCATCCTCATTTTATCAAAGCATAGAGAACACAAAGGTCAGTTGACTTAATCAGCAGCACTCACAGCATTAGATTCATACACACGTCTTGCAAGGGTCCCACTCTTAACAGGACTACAGATTTATCAACTTCTATCATCATATGCAGGGGTTGAGGAGGAGCTTGTAAACACATAAGAATAACAGAACGACATATTCTTTTGAAGGTAAATTTGGGAAAGGTTCTATCTACAGAGACATTAAAGTCCCAGAGAAATGAAAACTCCGTGGCCTTCCCTTTGCTCATCAGTGATCACCCAACTAGCACTCACCACATTTATTTCTTAATGTGTCTTGTTTTGGCTGAGCCATTTAAAAATAGGCTGCAGATTATTTGTGTCACCTCATTCCTGGTGACTTCCACAGGTACTTAAGAACAAAGACATCCTCCCGTCTGATTGTGATATTGTCACACCCAGGAATACAACACTAAGTGTGCTAACAATCAGCAGAGAGTCAGCCCAAAGCCAGATTCTCCAGAGTATACTCCTTCAGGCCTCTTCCTCTTCTTCCTGTGGGCTGAGGTAACCTGCAACAGTGCCGTCAGCTCTTGATCCCTTAATCTAGAACAGTCTTTCCCCCTTGTCTTTTGTACATGGGCATTTTTGAACATTCCAGATCCTCTTGCAAGGTCAGATTCTGGCGAACTTGCCCTAGGCTTGGGTATGCTTGCATGCGTCTCCAGTGACAGGCTGCAGTGGTACTTGGGAACGTTATGAAGACTAATAAAAAACCAGCAAGTATCCCTAAAACTCTGACTACTGAATAAGAACTCTGGTTCACTCAGCAGCCAAATGGATTAGTAACTGACCGAGTAAAAAAGTAGCTTGGGTCTGTGGTAACTGCATACAGTGTCCCCAGCAGTTTTATAAACTCGCTGACTTGAACAGATTCCCAATCTCCTCAAAATCCAATTCAAAGGAGCCAAGCTTGCTTTACCTTGTCTTCTGACATTGTGGGGGGAGCTGTCCTCTTAATCCCAGGTCCTGTGCTGAAGGTGGCTGAGTAGCTGACCAGCCAGAGTCCTCCGCTCTGCCTGGTTATACATTGTAGGAGGAGGAGCAAGCAGAGGTGAACTCGCCGAAGTTAGACTATTGATGGGACTCCAGTCAATATGCCCTTTACCTCAGTGACCTGTGGCTTGAGTGCCTCTGTTCACGGGAAAGAAGATGACAGGAGGTCTCCTAGGAGTGAGTGATAAACCAGAGGCAGGCACATGTAAAGGTCTGATAAGTGAAAAAGTAGCAACCCATGGGGTGAAGCTGAGGGAGGCCGTGCCGTGGGGAAGGTAACGACAGGAGCCTGGAGGGGCAATGCAGTTGCTCTTCGGAGAACTAGTTCTGTGGGGCCTGTGCTGTAGAGATGGGCTGTGTGGCTAGAGACTCTGCAGACATCAGTTACCCCAATGGCGTTTGGAGAGGTGCGTGCTAGGGCTTGAATCACAGTATCTTATTCAGGGTGACCTGAAGCAAGGGAGTCTTAGGTTTGTATTGTTGCTTGTTTTTTTTTTTTTACCTGATCGAAAAAAGACATAAAAGCACACACACACTTTGTTTTGTTCAGGGGGTTAGGTGAGATAACATGGTACGTGTTTGGCACAAAGCAAGTTCTCGATACACGGTGGTAACACACTTCCTATTGTCATTATTAGTTCAGTGTGTTTCAAGATTTGTTTGCAGAGCCAGGTGTGGCACACATCTGTAATGTCAGCATTGCCACAAGAGGACTGTGAGCTGGAGGCCCACTGGATCACATAGAGTTGCTGGCTAGCCTTGGCTACGTGCAGAATCCTGATTAGGGAAGGGCGTGCACTTGGAGCGATAGCCTTGGGTTCTCAATGAACTCTGTTTACAAGTTAGTTCAGCTTTCATTGCGACTGGCGGCTTTGGTTACTGGGTTCCTCAGAGGAGTCAGTTCACAGCAGAAGAAATGGAAGAAGCAACGGCAAAGGACACCAAGATGGGGAGGAAATTGGATTCAATTTGCTTGCATTAAAAAAAATTGCCTGCCATTTTCCCCACCTCTCCTCAGTTCTCGTTTCCACACACTCCCTATCTGTGTGTGTGCGCATGCACATGTGTGGTGTGTATATGTGTGTGTGTGCACGCGCACATGTGTGGTGTGTACTTCTCTGTGCAGAGACCAGGGACTGATGGTGAGTGTCTTCCTCTATTACTCTATCTCTTGTTTGAGACAGGACCTCAGAGGACCTGAAAGCTCCCCGTCTGGGCAAGGCTGACTTGACTGGTCAGTGAGCCCCTGGCATTCACCCAGATCCACTCCAGTGCGGTTTGCAGGCACTGCTCCACCATGCCTAGGTTTTTAATGTGCACTGGGGACTTGAACCCAGGCCCTCTTGCTTTCACAAATGCTCTTACCCACTTCAGGCCCTCATTTCTGTGAAAACACGTGAAGCACCTGGTTTTTGGAAGCAAATAATTCAATTCAAAGCCCAAACTTCAGTCCACCTCAGCACGGCTGTATCCTCTAACACATCACAGCCACCTCTTGCCGGGACTTTACACCGGAGAGGGAACACACCTGCAGTATCTCAGAAGGCAGGCTCCCGAGTGCTGGTAGCTCCCCAGTAATCTTCACAGTGCTCCTTTCATCTTCATGGTGAGTCGATTGCTGCTCAGTGCTTTCCAGGACTTGACTGGTTTAATCATCGCAGAGTGCTCCAGGTGGTGGCGCTCTTCCTCTTCTCCGGCACCCGGCCTTACAGCGCCCCTTGATGTGCATGGCGGGGGGAGGGAGAGGGGATCGGGGTGTCCTGTCCTCAGCACCATGGATGAGCCAGCGGAGAGATGACTTGACAGCAGTTTTCCACTGTCTTGGATCTGCACAAAACACGCCTGCGCTGCTGTCGGGAAGGAGAGCTGCCCTGGGTTGCTTTGCTACCTTCGTCTTTTAAAGTCTGCTTTGAAGTAACGGCGTTTGTCGTCTTTGCAGCTGTGACTGGGAGTCCACGATTACTGTGCTTCTCAGCCCGGTGCCCAGGAACGCTGCTCCTCCCCCATTGGAGACGAGACTCATTCAGCATCTGGATGTGGGCTAAAACTACCTGCAGGCTGAGGATGGAAGGAGCGTATTGCGCAGGTTGATTTTGGCTGGCGAACTCAGACCACACACTGGCCTTATGGAGCGCCGCTGACTTAGCTTCAGGGCGCTCTGAGGAGCTGTGGGCTTCTGTGGATAAAGTCTGGAAAGGAAAGCTGATTGCACTTTGCCCTGGCATGGCGTCTACTCACCGAGTGCCCATAATCATTCAGAGATTCCTGCTTCACTGCAAAAGCAGCCTTGGTTAGTTTCCGTTTGTCTCAGTGCCCCCATGCAGAGGTTTCAGGCAGGCACAACCAGTACTGGGTACTAGGGATTCTTTTCAGGTCCTATATTTGCAGAGCAAATGCTCTTACCCACTAGGCTGTTTCCCCAGACCTGGCTTTATACTTTTAAACCTTTCGGGTCACATTCTGATTACATCACTAATTAAGAGAGGAAATGCCAAGAATTGCAAATGATGACCTCACGTCTCCCTTTCCGCAGTGAGAGGGGGCAGTTTTTTGCTTTTGTTTTCTCTGTAAATGAAAAGAGAAGGCTCTGACAGAGTCAGGTGCAGGTAAGGGCAAGAGCATGCCTGCAAACTTGGCCAAGCCAAGAGGGCAAGGTCTCATGGGAAGAACTCAGTCCTGAAGGTCAGGGTCCCCTGCCTGGCCTCCCTTGTCCTCCTGCCCTACTGCACTTTCTTGATGTGATGTGGAAGATTGATTTTATAAGTTAAGTTACATCATGAACCTGCTTACAAGCCCATAGAAGTCTAGCATCCCTTGCCAGCAGGGAACTCTTCCTCCTACTTGATTCTGAGGCTGTCTTTCCTACTCAGGACTCAGCCATCTGCCTCAGATTTGTCTGTCAAAGCACTGGGGTGACAGACAGCAGACATGGCATTCAGGACCTTGTAGCCTGTAGGAGTGGTCTAGAATTCAGGTGAATGGCAGAATTCAGAGAACAGGCATGGGGGTCCTATGAGACACTGTTTGTTTTAAAATCACTTCTGATGGCTGGGCATGGAGCTCAGTGGATAGAGTGCTTGCCTGGTGTGATCCCCAGTACCTCAGTAACTCTCACTGTGGTGACACATGCTTGCATCCCTGTGGTAGGAAGCAGAAGCAGGAGGATCAGGAGTTCAAAGTCATCCTCAGCTACTTAGGGAGTTCCAGGCCACTTAGGGTATATTCACGTACCCTGTCTCAAAAAACAAATAACAACCCCCAAATAAAACATAAGGATAATCCCTGCTGTTGTGTGAAGGGTGGATTGGATGGGAACATCAAAAAAAAAAAAAAAGGGAGAGTCAAATTACAAGAGCATTGTGACCATGCATGCTTGCTTCTGGAGACCAGAACTAACTGCAGGGGAGAAACAAAAGGAGCAAACTCAAGGTACGCTTTGGTGTACAAAGAAAATATAACTGCTTTTAAGAGAAGGGATAGGAGATGACATGTCACTTTCTTACTTGCTAGCCTGGGGTAACAGGCACCGTTTGCAGTTGCCTTCTTGCTAAGCTGGGGTAATGGGAACCATTTACAATGAGAGACTCTAGAGATTTAGACATCTGAGCAGGGATCCAGAGCTCCCTCCTGGACCCCATAAAATGAAGCAGATGCACTTTGCTCCTCTTTGCAAAGATTAAACTTTTTGAGGCATTCACCGGTCTCAGGCAGTTCTAAGAGAGAGCAGGGAGAGCCCATGTGCCCTTTGCCCGTGTTCCCCTTATAACATTATGTAAGACCATGGCTGTAGACCACAACCAGGTTATTAATCTGAGTGGCCAAGGTACAGTTTGCCCCTGGTAATACAAGGATCCTGGGCTGTCTTCTGTAGCTGTGCCCACTTTCCTCTTACACTTTCCGACTTTGAAATCCGGGCAATCGCTCCATTCTCCAGCTATATGATTCTACCATTCTGAGTGTGATTTAAAACCTAAGAGGACATTCTGCTTTATTCAAGGTCTACCAGTGGAAAGGCAAACCTCATCTAAAGACACCTTCACAGATGCATCCCTGAAAATGTTTGCTTGAAAATCTGGATGCTTATGATCTAGGTAAGTTGTCATATAAAATATAAAATTGGTCATTATCATGCTGTGTTTCCCTTTTCCGCTCAGCGGAATTCCCCCAAGAGCTACCCCACGTCTGTGTCAGTAGTTTTCATTACTGTATAGTACAACATGGTATAGATGTCCTGCTATTGACATGTCTTTGATGTATATAGTAAATGTTTCCAAATTTGACAGTTAAGAATAAATCTACTATCTACTTCATTTTTTTCTTTTTTTAAAATTTAAATGAGAAACAAACTTGCTTCATATGTCAGTCCCAACTCCCTCTCCCTCCCTTCCTCCCCCACCTTCCCAACCCCCTAACCCTCCATCCCCCATCTACTCCCCAGGGAGGGCGAGGCCTTCCATGGGAGATCTTCAAAGTCTGTCATATCATCCCAGGCAGGGCCTAGGCCCGCCCCCATATGTCCAAGCTGAGAGAGCATCCCTTCATGTGGAATGGGCTCCAAAGTTCATTTGTAAGCCAAGGATAAATACTGATCTCCTATCCGAAGCTCTATAGATTGCTGAGGCCTCCTCACTGACACCCATGTTCAGGGGGTCTGGATCACTCCCATGTTGGCCTCTCAGTCATCATCAGTCTGGGGTCCATGAGCTCCCCCTTGTTCAGATCAGCTGCCTCTGTGGGTTTCACCAGTCCAGTCTTGACCACTTTGCTCAAACATCCTGCCTCTCTGCAGCTGGGTTCCAGGAGTTCAGTTTAATGTTTAGCTGTGGGTGTCTGCCTCTGCTTCCGTCAGCCACTGGATAAGGCTCTAGGACGGCATATAAGGTAGTCATCAATTTCCTTATTGGGGGAGGGCATTTAAGGCAGCCTCTACACTATTGCTGACCTGAGGAAGTGGGAGCTCACAAACTCAGACTGACAGTTGGGGAACCTGCATAAGACTGAACTAGGCCCCTTGAATGTGGTTGAGGGTTGGGAGGCTTGGACAGTTTATAAGGCTGCTGGCAGTGGAACCAGTATTTATCCCTAGAGCATGAACTGGCTTTTTGGAGCCCACTCCCTATGGAAGGACACTCTCAGCCTAGATACGCAAGGGCCTTGGTCCTGCCCCAAATGATGTGATAGACTTTGATGATTCCCCATGGGAGGCCCCACCCTCTCTGAGGAGTGGATGGGAAGTGGGATGGGGAGGTTATGGGGGCAATGGGGGGATGGGAGGAAGAGGAAACTGGGATTGGTATACTTATATTAAATTATAATAAAAAGAAATACTTTTGCATGAATATTCATCTTTTTCTTTTCTCTAGAAAAATGCTGTTGCTGAATTATATGCTGGTTATATATTTAGTTGTTTTTTGTTTTCTTCTCTTTTTCTTTCTGTTTTTAGAAATTTTGGGACCATGTCCCAGCAAAAAAATGAACAAGGGTCCTTATTTTCTCATACAATCTCAATAAAATTTGATATTGATTTTAAATTTCAGCCTTTCTGAAGTATGTAGAATAATGCCTCATTTTGCTTTTAATTATAATTTTTAATTTTATTATTATTTTGCCTGCATGTATTTCTGTGTACCTAGTGCATGACTGTGCTCTTGAAGGCAGGAGAGAGGGTGTTAGTCCTGTGGAACTGGAGTTACCTGTGGACAGTAGTGAGCCACCATGTGGAGTCTAGGCATTAAATCTGGGCCTTCTGCAAGAGGAGCCAGTGCTCTTCAGCACTGCCATTTCTCCAGTCCCTTGATAAGAATTTTCTAAGACCAGCAGTATCTTTTTCTTTACTGACATCTGTATGTCTTCTTTGGTCAGCTTCTGTTTATAACAACTACATGTATTTGTTTTCCTATGGTGTGTTATGTACCTTTCTCCTCCCAGTCATCTCCCTTGGCCCACTTTGTTCATTTTCTATTGGATTTTAGCTGTTGTTGTTTATGTTTCTTTTGAGCTCAGACAGTTTGTTACCACATCTTAGATACTAGACTTTTACTGAACATATACATGGCAAAGTTTTCTGCTACTCTTTAGCTTTGATACTCTTAATGGGAGTTTTCCAAGCAAAATGTTTTAATTTTGATGAAATCTAATTTACTAACATTTTTATTTATGACACGGCATCTGAGATCTTTTTTACGTAGCCCTTGTTTTCATCTCGTTTCCCCCCCATAATCTCCATGTCCCCAAAATGTTTTGGTTTCACATTTATTTTTATATCTGCAACTTACTTTGAGTGTTTTGTTTTTTAAAATAAAATGTGAGACCCTGGCTGAGGTTCCTTGTCCCTGTGGTGTCCATTGACTCAATACCGCCACCTTCTCCACTGAACCGATTCTGTAGTTTTAAACTTAGGTGTGCCTTCCTATTTTTTTGCTTGTTTGTTGTGGGGTGGTGGTACGCACTTTGACATACCTGTGTACGGCAGAGGACAACCCGGAAGAGTCTGTTCTCTCCTTCGCCCACCTTAGTCCTGAGGACTCAGGCCGGATGGAGAAGCACCTTTGTGTCTTAATCCATCTTGTTTTGAAAGTTTTATTTATTTATTTACTGTACTGGGATCAAATCCAAGGTCTTCTACAAGTGAGTCGGATGTCTGTCTGTGGGTTTATTGGTAAATTCTTTTGTTCTGTAACATTGGTTTGTGTCCATCCCTTCTAGGTCTCAATTATGCTCTCTCTCTCTCTCTCTCTCTCTCTCTCTCTCTCTCTCTCTCTCTCTCTCTCTCTCTCGTATGTATAAACAAATCTTGAAATTGGAGGCTTATTTCTTCTACTCTGTTTTTCTTTCTGAAAATGTTTATTTAGTGTTGTTGCTTTTCTGCCAAACCTTTAGAATAAACTTGTCTATATCTGTCCTAGGATTTTGATGGGAATTTATGAAGCCTGTGTAGTAACTTGGAATGCATTGACATCTTTGCTATATTGAGTCTTCCAACCCATAAGCACACTTTATATAATTGGTTCTGATTTCTCTGATTAGTGTTTTTCATTTTTGGCAGACCAAGCCTTGTCTACATTCTGTTAGATTTACAAGCGGCTATATTTTCCTCGGTAACAGTAGGTGGCGCTTTGTTAACAGCAGCAAGAGTGGATGCTTGCCACAGCTGCTGGCAGATGCTGTGACAACTCGAGGTCTTTCCAGAGGATTGTACTGGGTGAAGCTGGGTCTCTTGACTCGCGGCAGACAGGAACTTCACAAACGTCACTATGAAGCCACGTTGGAGTTTATTATGAGATTTTACACAGCTTTAAGACTGGGCATTAATAGGGTAGGGAAGGGGAATACACTGTAGGCGTGGGCACACTTCTCTTGAATGCTGTGTGAGTGTCTAACAATTGCTGTGCTATAATTTGGGTGGCTTCTCAGGTTGGATCTGAAAGGATTGCTATGAAGTTCGTTTTTCAGTAACTGAGATCACAGGGTGTTTCCTGGAGGGCGTTGGATAGGATTACAATCTGATAAAGTTGAATTATGGAGCACAGAGTTGCCCAAGAGGATTAAGACAAGTCTTTTGCTGAAAATGAAGTTAGCTTATCATCTCGATTGTGGCATTCCTAGTGCAAGTTTACATCTGGAAAAGGAAAAAAAAGAGCCACACTCAAAGGTCATATATGCTTAGGCTTGAAGCATGACTCACTGCTATTTTACTATTCTTACTTTAGAATATTCTATTTAGAATGGATATTGTCTGTATGTAGGCAGCCTCACAGCACATGCTAACTGTGCAGACATTCTTGACTCAGATGGTCTTCAACCAGATTTGAAGGTGGAGAAGCCCTCCCCCCCTCTCTGAAGGTGGAGAAGCCCTCCTTTCTCCTGCTGCGTTTGTTTGCCGTCTCTATCCTGCTTTCATTGTGTTTTACGTTTTGGTGCATTTGTTAGAGCTTATGAAATAATGGATAGTGTCATTGAGGCTTCAGTTCAGTTGCTCTGTCTGTTGAGATAGGGATGTCGAAGTCAATAGTTACACCTGTGGATTTCCTCCTCATTGCCAGATGAAGAGTGACACCCAAGTTATCGATTCTGCTCCTATTGACACCATGATAGGGAGGTTTCTCATGAAATCTGGGTAAGCATGGGGTTTCCAGCTCCTGGCATGGTGTTTAGGGTACCATGGCAGAGATAGCCATTATTAATGATGGACAAATGGTGAATTCTTAGCTCTCCACCACACATCCTCTGACAGCTCCACCAGGAGGGGTGGGGATTGTGCCTTGTTCCTGCTGGTAACAGTGGAAGCCTGGCTTCCCATCTGTTTTTGATAACACTGCTGGCTGGAGCCTTGTTGCATTGCCACTGAACACCCTGACATCCCGTTGGCTTATTCTTGAGCCATCCTGGCAGAAATTTCATGTCTCTGTTTTTTTTTTGTTATCATTGGTTTTGAGAATTTCATATACGCATATGTGTTTTAATCAAATCTCATTCCTTCCCCACTAATTCCTCCCCTAACCCCACAGGAGCCACTTTCCCTCCCAACTTCATACACTTTTAAAAAATATTTATTTTATTTTTATGTGTGTAAGTGTTTTGAATGTGTGCACATATATGTACCCCTTTGGCTCACGTCATTAACATGCCAAATTAAACTTAAACAACTCCTCCTCATGTGGGCTTTCCCCCTTTACCTTTATAAACCACCTATGTGCCAAGTCTGTCTTCTCTCTATGCAGAGGCAGTCCTTTGTCCCCAACCCCTGGGCGAATACCCCTGTCCCCTTTCTTTTGATCTCTTTCCTTCTCCCTCATTCTCTATCTTCTTTACCAAGGCATCCTAGCTCATTCTATCTAACACAGACCCTCCCTTTTTCTCTTCTTAAAAGTTACATCTGCAAGGTCATTTGCTGCTGTTTTTCTGCCTACGTCAGAAAGTAGCCACCTTAACTTTTCTTCCAGATAAATGATCTCTGTGAAAACCTATTTGGGTGTGGTTTGTGCCTAATCCAGGGTCCGGGAGGGAGCCCCCATTATGCCCAGGGTGGGGGTCCCCTTCAGTAAGTGTTGATTGCATGAAGAACTAGATGGAGAAGGCTGAAAGGGCAATAAAAGAATAAAGTTTGGGTCTCCAGCAAAGCCTGATCAGGCTGGCATTGATTCTCTTTGGAGGATGCTCTGGGACCTAAATTGACTTCTTGGACTTCCTCTGGAAATGAGCCATAGTGGGGAAGCAGGGAGTGAATTTGTGATCTAGGTACATCCCAAATAGCATCCTGTGTTACACAAGATGGAAAACCAATAAGTAGGCCACTGCCTTTATTTTTTTTTAATTCTCCTCATTCTCCTTCTCCTCTTTCTTCTGTCTTTTGAGACAAAGTCTCATGTATCCCAGGATGAACTCTGGTCCTCCTGGTTCCATGTCCTGAGTGCTGGGGTTATAGAGTTATGCCACCACACGTGGCTTCTTTTTCTTCTTTTATTGCCTAGAGCAGCTTTTTTGTGGCTAAATTAATGAAGAATTAGTGAATTTGCTGGATAACTAAAGTGATAACCTGGAGAGACTCACAAAAATGATGAACCACACATACATCAATCTTACAGACCACTCTCTTTTACAACAATCTAATGATTTTAATGAAGATAATTGTACTTTAATAAAAATTAAACACTTTAGAATGCTTTGAAGGCTGAAATGAGAGAATATATGTGACACAGACAAGAATTAAATAGATATGAAGGAGGAGAAGGTGGGCTATCCAGGAGTTATAATAACCAATAAAACAAAATTAGACTCAGAACCACAACAAAACAACAGAAAAACCCAGATATGTGAAGAAGTGATGATTATAACAAGAGAAGAATAAAAAAGATTGAACTCCTTCCTCCAAAACAGTCTAGACTTTCATCTATAAAGCATTTTCTTAATATTATGGTTTGTAAGGATAAAATGTATATGTGACTATATGCATAAATGTATTTTCATGTGTAAATGGGAGGCACAACATTATCATGATCTGGAAAATTACACAGAGTAAAACAAAACAACATTACTAAATCATATAATGAATGTTCCATGTGGAAGGAACCTATTACAGTGGAAACAAGAATGTTTCTTTTATTTATCATGTTTTTAAAACCGTTCCATTTAAAACTAAATCACCAATTTTAACACCGGCTGGAGATTTGCATTTCTTCTAATGACATTTATGGCTAGGGCTTGGACTGTTCATATAGTCCATCATGATGTGGCGGTTGATCTTGATTTTCAGCTTATGTTGATAAAGTGAAACTTTAGGGACAAACCTACCTGGGACAATGAGAGAGTGAAGAGAGGAGAGATAATACAGAAAGCGAGGGCCTGGTGGGTTGGGTTCTTTCTGATGAAGGGCTCCAACTGCAACAGCAACCATTTACTTATACCTTTGAATGTAGGGTGTGGGCTATTATGTACAGCTGAACAAGGAGGAAGGCTTATGGTACACAGCTGGGCAAGGGGCCTGCTTAGCTCATCTCAGTAGGAGGTCTCTGTAGAGTTGCAGTCTCAGGCTGTAAACACCCTGGAGGAGGGAGCAGTGGTTGACAGTTTCTGTACCTGCTGGTCAGTCATTGGAAAATACGCACACTTGGACCAGAGTAAGGCTTTGCCATCCTTCTGGGTCATATTCATGGGAAGGCTTTGTCACTTTCATGGGTATGAGGTGTGGGGGTCCCTTGCATGGTTATGCCCATGTCAAACAATATACATTTATTCAGGACTTCATCCACGGAAACCCAGGGGACTCTAAAGAACAGGTCATGGTGGGTTTGAGGGTCTTTTTCAAAGAGGAATATCTATGGACAAAGTCTCGAGTTAATTGACACTGTCCTACAGACTGGATACCCAAATGGAACAAAAGAAAAAGGAGGAAGTAGCTCATGGTTGTTATGGTGTGAGCTGCTCTATCAAGCCCCCTTTCCAATAATAGACCAAAACTGTTGTAATTATGAGAAAAAAGTGAGTATTGTCTCCCTTAAGTTACTTTGCTCAAATACTTTGTCACTGTCATGAAGTCTGTCATGTACACAGAGGCCTGGATTGGTCCTTTGTCTGCAGGGGCTGGGTCCTTGAGCAAGGACAGGGTCCTTGAGCATGGACAAGTCTTGCTTCACTTCTTTGGATATCATTTGTAAGACAACACAGGTGAGCTCTCATTATCTTCTCATATGAGATGGGAACAGCCTCAGGTCATGGGCTTGCTGTAGAGTGAAATCAGCTAGTCTGAATGTGGTGCTCAGAGCAAAACCAAGCACACAGTGATCTGTCACTGGTGTTTGCTCTCAGTTTCTATGACTCTTCTCACAGAACACCCTCTCCGACAGCTGACATGGACTCCTGAGGACTTCTAAGATGACTGGTTGCATGAACTGCTCTTTCCTTTCATCCACAGTTTGTGAAATTTGGTCATCATGGAACTTTTAATTGGAAGAGCAAGGAGTCAGTTACTAAATGGGTGTCCCCTGGATTTGTACTGTCCAGAGCTCTGAGGTTTGACAATCTGTGGCAAATTGATTTGACAGATGTGTATCGATGGCAGTTTCTCAGTGAGTACTGTGCTAAATTAATTAATCACTGGGCAATTTAATCTAATTGAATGCTCCTGCTGCACACAGAAAAGTTCTCTTTATAATTCTTGAATTGTCGCTGTTTAAATTAAGTCAATTAAAATGCTCTGTTCCTAACCACTTTTTCCAATTGAACGTACCTAGATGAACACAATACTCTGCAGGGCAGCATTTCTGTTATGAGTTTGTGTATCTTTAATGCCCTTAGGTTAATCATTTTCAGTCACTGTTTGGACTATTTTCTGCCATTGCCTTGAAAAGTATTTGCAGTTCATTTGCAGGTTGCTGAGGGAAGCTGATGAGGTGGACATAAAAATGGGGGTGAAGATCACAAGGTCCTTGCTGAGGGTGAGCAAACAACATTGCTCAGTGTTGTTGACCAACAGGTCACCAGTGAAAGGAGCAGTGTCAGGGCCAGTGGAGTCTCCTGTCAGCTGTTTATGAGACAGGAGTTCCAGGAATGTAGGGAAACAAGCAGATGGTGCGATGCTGGGTGGAAAAGTTGTTGACCCAAGGGCTCCTTTGTCTCCTGGATCTCTGAGAAATGACCAGCTTCATTAGCTCTGCCCTCCCCCAGAAAGCCCTAAGTGTATGTGCAAACAGAGTGCCTGCTCTTCAGATAGCCTGAGAGTCAGGGCACAGTTAGCACAACAAGCCCAAATAACCTATGCCCTTCCTTCCCAGTTTGGAGTCACCTCTTGCCTTGGAGCAGTGCAAGTGGGTTTTGATCAAACACTATAAGGGGCTTGGGGTAGGGAGGCAGCCTTTTGGGAGGGGGGCGCTCATCAGAGATCCAAGCAAGGCTTGAATCAGAATCCAAGGTCACTGCGCTGTTCATGTAGTCAGAGGTCTTTGGAGCGGACTATGAGCTCCCCTGGAAGTTCGGGGCTGCAGCAGAGTGCAATCATGGCAGGTATAAGCCATCTTCTCTTCAACATGTGTGCAGCCTAGCCTGGAATTGCACTCCGGCTTCCCCCTCGCTTTTCTGTCTTATAAACTCCTTAGGAAGCGCTTTCTATGGTGAAAACCAAGTGCATGCTGCTTTGTCTGAGCCCATCTGCAAGGGCCCACCCAGCACAACAAGGCCATTGCCTGTTCCTTGTCACTGACGGGAACAAATGGCTCAATGTTTTGCCAAGTAGTGAGCGGGCTATGTAGGAAGAGTTGGGTAAAGTGGAGGGAGTACAGGCCCGGGTGACCTGGTACCACGCCTACATTCTTCTCCTGTTACAGCCTCTGGGCCACTTGAGCCACTTGGTCCATCAGGTAGCGGAAACTGGCAGGTTAGACACTAACTTCCCAGGAGATCTTTCATCTTTATGCTCTGAGGATATGCGAAGATAAGGGGTGGGTCTCTTCCTGACACTTCACTCTAAAAAGCAAAGAGAGTTTCAAGGGTTCCACTAGGGTTGGGGATGTGAGTATCTCTTGCAGCTGATAGCTCTGGCAAGCACAGTTTCCTGCGCTTATCACAGACTCACACACTGGCTTTACGGATTCTTGCCCAATGAGAGCCTGCAAGCATTTTAGTCCTTTGGCTTGCTGAGCAGGGTCAGCTCCACCAAGGGACAACTGCTCCAGATGCTGAGCTCCCAAAGACTGATATTTAAGAGAAGAAAACCGTGTCTCAGTAGCAGATATTCAGGACAAGATTTTGCCTGCTGTCACTATGAACTCTCACAAAGATTGCACCTGCCACGCCACTGGGAATACTGGAGGAAGAAACAGATGGAGGGAGAAACTGGATTGCTCTGAGAGCTGCTGTGTTGGCAAGGTGAAACCGAGTATGGAGATTGGGCTTTTCTTTTTTCTTTTTCTTTTATTTCTTTTTTTCTGGTAAAGTGTCTTTCATTGGAGTAGAGTTATGTTAAAAAAACAAACTTAAAGCTTGAAAGGTGAAGTAGGCTCATATGTAATGTAGTAGGAATATAAACTCAAAGGCACCAAATGGAATATGTACCAAACAACAGATAGTCAACAAAGATATTCAGTTTTGTTTGTTTGTTTTGTTTTGTTTTTTGAGACAGGGTTTCTCTGGATAGCTTTGGAGCCTATCCTGGAACTCTCTCTGTAGACCAGGCTGACCTTGAACTCACAGAGATCCACCTGCCTCTGTCTTCCGAGTGCTTGGATTAAAGGCATGCACCACCAATACCCGGCTGTTATTCAGTTATTTAAAATGTATGGAGTCAGGAAATTATTTCATCTTGGTTACTTAGAAGAGCGTAAATGACAATATACAGGCACATATGTACACACTCATATGCATACTCACACATATGTACATCTTCGCACACATACACATACAGTCACATACATACTGTTGTACCTGTTGTGCCCAGACTCTGAATGCCCCCCAAACCACCACGAGACCAGATCCAATGAGAAAATAAAGAGTTTTTATAAATGATGAGTTAACTGGAATTAACTTGGGTCCTCTGTCCATCTGACACAGTGGGTGGAACAGGAGGTACCCCAAGCAGCGGTAGGGTAGAGAATATATCCGGGTAGAGCAAGGGGAGTGTCTGGGTCTACTAGTTGCATAGTAACAGTCTCAGGATTGGTGCACCTCCAGGCTTGGGCAACCTGTCCTGAGTTGATTGGTCAGCTGCAGCTGCAGAAAAGTTGCTATGCTTAGAGGCCCTTCCAGGGCAGTTTCTACCTACTACATTCCGCTATTATCAGTAAAGCACATCCAGAGCCCACCAGCTAGCTTCTGATTGGCTCCTCGCCTCTAGAAATTAGGGGAAGGTTGAAAGCTCAGCACATGTTGCTGAGCCAGGGGCCTATGTCTTACAGGGTCTTTTCTGCAGCCTGTCATGGCTGCCAAAGCAGGAGGCTGGGTGAGGATCTGGTCCCTTCAGTACACATATGGATGTGTAGGCACTCACAAAAGATACACTCACACATGTCTAAACCCATAGTTTCCTATTTATATATATTACGATTTAATAGCAATAATTCTCTTAAGTAATGACTCCTCTAAACTTTCTCTTGTGTCTTATGGGTATTTTGTAAGAACAGCTGTGGACCAATTCACAGAGCTCTTATCCAGATGTAAGAGGGGAGGGATGGTCCACCTGACCCTGTGTCCAGATCAAGAGCCGCAGGTTGCAGCCGTTGAGCTTGCGTCACCACCCCACCCACCCACCCACCCACCCATCCACAGTGTTCTCCCTTCAGAAGTTGTCTTCTGCCTGTTTAGGAGCCATGCCACCCTTCTCCATGCTCCTCCTCTCATTTCGTTTGCACAGTTTCTTTCAAAGGAAACTGCTCACAGGCGCCGTTACCGACATTTTAACACTGTTTTGGCGCTTCTGTGTTTTGGTAAGCTACTGTGGAAGTTCTCTTGTGTCACAGGATGGGCGCTCTTTGCTCTGTGGCATGATGGTAACAAACCGAATGGCTTCTTACTCAGAGCCCTTAGCCAGACACTCTGGGCAAGCTGTGTCTTGAGCAGTCTCTATGTTGCTATTTATAAGATAATGGAGGACATAGGATAAACTACAAATTAAAATTAAAACTGAGGGAGAGATTTAAATGTTACAAAAATATAATCAAAATAGTAGAAGCAGGTAAAGTGATGGAAATTCTCTAAGACACTAAGACAAAAGGTATATGAGAAAGGAAACACAGTATACATAAAAAAGACAGAATGTAAATAAATAGCAGGAGAGGGTTAAAGCAACATCTGAAGGTGAGTGCAGAAGCCTAAGTGGAAATATTCAAAGAATGTGAGAAGCAAAAGGAAGAATTTAAAGCTGGCACTCGCCTTTAATCCCAGCACTCTGGAGGAAGAGCCAGGCGGGTCTCTGTGCCTTAGAGGCCAGCCTGGTCTACAGAGCTACACAGAAAAAAAAGAAAGAAAGAAAGAAGGAGAAAAATGGGAAGAATTTAGTTAGAATCACAAAGAAGTAGAAATAAAGACAACTATGAAATAAGATAGAAAGGCAAAACGATTGCAAAAGAAGTTGTGTATAAAAAATGAGTATTAAATAATTAAAAGGAACAGTTCAGAGTGATGTCAGTGAGATGTGTGTAAACAAAACTGACAGCCATTAACTGTGCTTTTAAAACAGCACATTCTACATACTAGAAGACATGACTGAATTAACAAGACAAAAGTGAAATGGCTGACATCAGAGGCGTGAGTGCTATGCTGTAGCAGAGTCTTCTGGCTGAGTTGACATGCCATAGTGTAGAGTTTCCAAGTAGGAACCAAGGTCCCTAACAGGAGCAGGAGAGGTGTGTCCAGCAATGAGTCCTTCAGGAGTTTTACCTGTAGTCGAGGTGCTAGGGAAAGGACATAACATTCAGGATCTCTTCTCAAAGCCTTCCATAGGACAGAATGGCAGTTAAGGAGGCTGTATACCATAAGGAAGCAGTGATTGGGAGACTTGATTTCCTGTGTGTGTGTGTTTATGTGTTTGTGGATACACATTTGTGCTCAGGTGTGTGTGTGTGTGTGTGTGTGTGTGTGTGCACGCGCAGGTGCGCGTGTGTGCATGAAGAGGCCAGATGTTAACTTTGGGTGTTGTTTCTTGGATGTCATCCACCTTTATTATTTTTCAGACCACCTCTCCTTGATTTGTAGTTCATCAACTAGACTGGGCTGGTTGCCAGTGGGTCCCAGGATCATCTCTTTCCACTCTCCTAGTGCGAGGATTATGAATAAGCACAATGCCTGTTTTTGTTGTTTTGTTTTGTTTTCACATGGGCTCTGGCAGTAAAATGGAGGTCTTTATGTTTGCACAGAAAACACTTTACTGACTGATATGTGTATCTGACGCGAGGCATTTGGTCTCTGTACTCTCTGGAAAGCCCAACCGTGCAGAATAGACGAGAGCAGGTGTCCAAATGTCCTGTTTCTTTGAGGTTATGATGTGTTGTTCAGGGTGGTGGCATCAGTGTACCACATTCCTGCTTATGTGGGGAGGGATGGTTCAGGTCGTTGCCTTAGAAATGAACAGTAGGAGTGTCTGAGCTAGTGGGACAACAGGGGAGTTCCACATTGTAATGTTGGAGTTCCCTGAGGAAAATTGGGGTGCTCAGCGTTGGAGGAAGCACCCGAAAGAATGCATAGATCTATAGTGACAGTGATCCACTCATGGGTGGGG